GGGGGGGCGAGGGACGAAGTGCGTCTTCACCAACTTCTTCTTTTACTCCATCAACGCCACCGAGGAGCCGTTGCCGCCCTCCACACAGAAACGCGATGGGAACTGGGCACAGAACTTCGTCGCCATCACGCAGTCCTGCGTGGTGAACTTCGACCGGACGGCCGCGGCGTGACATCGAAGCTCATCGCGCGCCGCTGCCGAAAAATCAGAGCAGATGGAGGCCCACGTAAAGAAATCCAGAAGCGGCACCACACGTATGTTTGCAGGCGTCAACGCATGAAGGGCATCCACGCGTTCGGTGACCACCTGAGAAAGGGCGAGGTTCGCTGCGACGGCACTGCTGCCAGGAGTTGTCCTTTCTGCCGCCACTGTTGCGGCTGGCGCGGCGTCGACTACTTGTTTTACCCTCTCTCTGAAGAAGGCTAGACACGCCTCTGGCACCTCTGTGCGCTGGCTCATAGCCTGATGACTGACCGAATCGTCTTGCGGCTCTGCAAGCCACGCACGTAGTGGCTCAGGAGGACTTCGCTGGAGTCGCTGGAGGAATCCGACCAGCAAACGATGATGCACGCCGACATCCTCTGCCTCATCAGTCACCGTAAACGTCTTCTGCTGCAGGTTGTCGTAAGGGAACTTCTCCGAAGCGTGATCGTGAGAAGAAGCTGGCGCTGAGGCTTCTTGGTGTTGTCTCGTGGGCAGTTGACTGTCCTTCATCAGGTTCTCGGACAGACCACGATAAACGTACAGCCCGCTCTTCAGCAGCAGGCTTGTATGCCTTGCAAAGTCTAGCATGGCCGGCAGCAGCACACGACGGATGTACGCGTCATCGTTGAGCACGACAACCGGACTGCGACACACCCTCTCGTTGTAGGGCAGATGTCGATCCGTCGCCGCGCCGCCGCCACGGGCGAAGGTTTGAGTTCCACAGCGGGGAGAGGAAAAGGAGGAGAACGCAGGAGTGTTGCTGCCGAGCGCGACGTAAAGGTCGTGATTCAGCAGCGCAGAGAAGCTGCCGAAGGGTTCGAGGAACTGCGAACGGAACCGACGCCACCCGCACAACGCCTCCAGCTCGTCCACGTGCCACAGCGCCGGGCAGCACATATCCTGAACCGCAACAGCAGGTTCAGAGACTGACAGCAATGAAGGTCGCAGAGCTGCTGCCGGCCGCACGCGTCGCGGGGTGCGCAGAAACGGAAGCAGCAGCCGATACCGTGCGGTGGAGAGGCGGTCCTCGGCGAGCGGCAGCACCGCACCCCCGCCAACAGCCATCGTCGGCGATGCTGTTTCTTTGTGAAGCGGCGTGGAAGAAGACAAGGGCTGTGCGGTGGAGTGCTCTGGCGAAGTCGGCGGCATGTAGAGCACCTTCCACATCGCCTCGGCTAAAGGTGCGTCTGCCACCGTCACGTCAGCCTTCCCTAGGCAACCGTCGGCTGCGATTTCACCCGTGTGAGTGACCGCACATGCGGTTTGCATGCCTGCGATGCGCAGCGACATGCCAGAGTCGTAGACGATCGGCACCGCTACGGCGATGGGGGCAGGCGCTAGCCGCCACCCGCGTTCCCACGAGCTCGCGAAGCTTCCGCCCCTTTCAGCACCATCCACGAGGGCACGGTCCTCCGCATCGAGGCGGTCCTCCCACGAAAAAACCTCCGCCCGTGCACATTGCACGTCTTCTTTTAACGCAAGCGACGGACCGTTTTCGCGCACACTCGCGCCGGCTTTAGACAGAGTTCGCGTGGCCTCGCTGAGGGGCGACGATGCCGCCGCTGCCGCCGCCACACGCGCCGTTACAGTACCTTTCCACTCGCTGAAGGCGTTGCTGATTTGGGATCGAATTTGCTCCTGCGTTGCTTCAGTCGCGCTTTCCTCGTCGCGTGTGCCACTCCAGTTGGCGGCTGTTGCAGCTTCCGTAGAGGAGGCGGGCCAAGTCGCGTCAGCGCTGTGGCGAAGCGGAGAAGCGGAGTCCCTCCTGGGGGCTGCGGGGGCTGGATTAAAGGTCTTCTGTGCGTAGCTGTTTGTCTGCGCAGTCCACGACGTCGTCGCAGGCGCAGCCCCACCTCCCCCGGCAGCGGATGCAGTAACGTGGAAGCGCTTGCCGTTTACTGGAAGAAAAAAAGAGGTTGCGGCGTGGTACGTCGGGCTCTCCGCGAGTCTGCTGGAGCGGCGCGAGGAAGAAGGCAGCGCATCAACGCCTGTTCCCCGTCCCTCCTGCTCGTCTCCCGCCTGATCTGCGGCCAGCATCTGTGTCGTCTTCACCTCCGTCATATAGCTGCGGAAGCAGCTCGGGTACAGCAAGCCGGCATTCTGCACGGAACCAAAAAAGGTTCGATCCTTGCTGCGGGCGAAGTGAAAGAAGAAAAGGGTGTAGCCGCCAAAGGAGGCCACCTCGGCGGACGACTCCTCGTCTGCAGCGGCCGCAGCGTTCGCGCTCCGCCGAGCCGTCGCAGTGCTCTCCGGCGGCGGACGACGCTTCTGTGCCGCGGCGGCCGCTTCGTAGGCGTTTTTCGGATCAAACGAATAACAATGCGCCAGGAAGACCTGTTCCTCCAATAAAGAGACGCACGACGACGACGACGATGCTGTCACGCTCGGCCCGCTGGACACGTGTGATGGATCAATAGCAGCAGCACGGCGGGAGTGCCGCCCGCGACGTCGCAACAAAAATTGGGAGGAGACGGCGTCGTGCACGACCCAGCGTGCGATATCGACGGGTGCTCGCCAGGGGCACGTCAGCCTCCCTTGTCTTTCCGTGGAAGCCTCTGCCCCTACCGCAGATGTTGCCGCTGCCGCAACGGTGCCGTCGCCGCCGTCGTCCCCTTGAGGGGCAGCGCCTGCAAGCACGTCGAGAAGTGCGGTCGGGACACCCAAAATGTACGTGTGTGGGGCGGCGGCGTAGTCGACGCGGTAGGTGGTGCACTCCGTCACGAGACCCAGATGAAACCGGTCCAGCCGCGCCGCCGGGTCCGTGTGCGGGTCGGCGTCGCATCGTCCGGGGCTGGACGCAGCAGCGGCGTCCAACGCAGTGGCGCGATCTGCCGTCAGTCCGAGTGCCACGAAGGAGTGGTACGTGTCTGGCAGGAGTAAACACGGCTCCTCGAGCGCGTCTAAATAGCGGAGATCGTCGTCGCCGCCACCCGAGACGTCGGGCCCACTGTCGTTCGTTGGACGCCCTTGCTGTTGGCGTCGAAGGAACTGACGTTCTTTGACGGCTCGGCGGAAAAGTGCGTAGATGCTCGTGGAGGAAGGTGCGAGCTGCGGTTCGTGGAGCAGCAGGAGTCTGTCAGCGTCAAAGCTTTTCGGTTGGACACTGTTTTTACTTGAATTGGCAGCGGTGGTGGAGGTGGGGGAGGATCTACTCGGTTGCATTGCGGAATCATGTACAGCGGCCCTTGGCGAATCAGCGCCGTCACCACCACCACTGCTGCCTTTGCCGTTAGTGTCGCTTCCCCGCTCCATCACCGTCTGCGACATCGCGCTCGTCGCGTTCTCCCGTAAGCGCTCCCGGGTGGAGACAGGCACGCGTCTCTGCACGTTCGACGGCAGCTCGTTGTAGTGAAACAGCGAGGCGGACGCACCCACCGGCAGACGCCGCAGCATTCGCTGTAAGTGGTTCAGCGAGAGAAGCTGCGTGGCGGAGGGGGAAACGCCGGGTAACGTGTGCGGGGGCCCGGAGGGCGGAGCGGGCACACGCGTGGCGGGTACGTTCGACAACGCCGTCGCGTGCCGCGGGTCCTTTCGATCATCGCGGTGCGGTTTCGCTGGTGGCACATCGGGATCTGTCGGTGCGGGAGAGGGCCGTGCTGCAGGCCGCGGTGAAGAAGAAGGTGGCGGGTCCGACGTGGAGAACGCCGCTCCTGGGGTGCACGTGGCAATAATCGACGGCCGCACCGCGTAAGAAAGACAGCCATGTCCGCGAAGTCGCCGCAGAGGCACAGCAGACTGCGAAGGTGGCATTCTGTGAAGAGGATAGGAACGGAAGGAGTGCGAAGGGAAAGAGCTGCTGCCTTTCACTACGGCCGTAAAATTCGTCCTTGAAGTACACACACACACACACACAAGCTGCGAACTCCACCACTCACCGTTTCCACATCCACGCCAATTCTTTTTTTTTGCGTGTGTGTGTGTTTCTGAAAACGCCCGTTGTGCGTCCAATTCAAAAGCAAAAGGTCTTCTCAGCGCTCGTGCACATCGGAGTCTCGGCCTGCTTCCACTTTCCTGCAAATGAAGATGCGGGTGTGCGTGTTCAGAAAAGGAAAAGAAAAGAAGTGGAAAAGAAGGAAAAAGGAGTTGTTGCAAAGGGAGGACGGTAACGCGGCAGGTAGCGCGTGCCCTTGTCGGTTCAGCTGCCAGCGTTCAGCGTTGCCGAAGCAGCGTTGACTCTGCCGTCAACGAGACAGACCGATTTTAAAAAAGGGGGACTGAGATTGGAGAAAGCAAACCCTCGTTAAACGCTTCCAGATTTTTACGTTGTTTTTCATATTATTCTTCTTCTGTATGTATGATTCACGCGCATCTTCGCCCTGCCGGAGCCACACACGGTGGTGCGCCTCACCAAACTCCTCCTGCGCCTTCGCGAGAACGCACCGGCTGAGAAGAGACGATGGCTGAAAGAAGAAGGAGCAATATTACGCGTCGGCATCTACGCAAGGGTGCGGCTCAGGGAGGCAAAAATCGAACCTAACGTTGTTCGATTTCTTTAGAGAGGCGACAGCCGAACAACGCACAGCAAACAGTGCTCCCCCTTTTCTTCGATCTCTCTCCATCGCACCCTCATGAAGTCTTCTTGAACGCCATCGTATCAAAAATCGCCCTTCTCGCCGCTGCACGACGCGACGGCGGCAGAGAGGACACCGGCGGTGACGCGGCGCTGCTCTTCGGTGCGTTGCGCGGCTCCACCTCCGCATCTCCAACACCCTCCTGATTCCCTTCACGTGCCTGTAGCACCGTGGCGGACTCCTCAGACGGCTCTAAAGATGTCAGGCAGCCGTCTGCGAACACGGGCAGCACCGGCGAGGTCGATGATGATGTGCATGCGTCCGCCACGGTAGAATCTGTGCTGACGCCGGTGGGTAGAAAAGAGTCTGCAGAAGCCGCGGGGAAGGCGGTAGAGCGGGGTGGGCGAAACGCGCGGGGGATGTAGCCTTGTGGGCTGTTTTTTGCGGCGACGCCACCGCTGCCCGGGAACGCCGGGGTGAGCTCGTGGGACGCACCTGTCGGGTCAAGACACAGCGGGCGTGACGTGGCCGCCGTCGTCCTCACACTCGTTGGAGACGCCCGTGCTGACAAAGGTGCGAGAGAGATCGCTGTAGGCGGCGGCGGCGAAGACGGGTCGTCGTCGCGGTTCCACTGCTTCCCCAGAAAGCACGATTCGAACACCGAATGAGCCCGGTTGCACTGCCAGTAGCCAAACGGGCACGCACACTGCCGCACAGACGCGTCTGCTTTCAGCTCTCCTGTCGGTGCTGCGTCAGCGCGGGCATCACCGCCTATCGGGTACGTGTACGGCTCCACATCGGGGGTCCCTGTCAAGCACGGCACCGTCTGACCGACCTCGCGTGATGCAGCGAGGTTGTCCTCGTGCTTCTTCTCTACGCCGCCGCTCTCATCGGAGCCGCAGCTTGCCTCGTCGCTGTGGCAGGCATTTCCTGCTGGGTCCGCGACGGCCAGGCTCGCAGCAGAGCTTCGGCTTCCGCTGCTCCCGTCCAGCATAGAAGCAGTAGCAACGGCACGTTTCTCGCGTCCTACAAGCGGCTCGCGCGACCGCCTTGGCTGCACCTTGGCGTCTTCCCTCATCTGAGTGCAGTTGCTGCCCATCTTCAACGTTGCCGTGGTCGCTGCAGCCTCGGCGCCGCTCATCAGGTCCTCTTTCGCCTCCGCCGTCGACGACGCACGCCGCATCTTTGTCGCCGACGCGGACGGCACCGACACCGGCGGTGAAGCGACGTGGCTAGACGGTCGCGAAAGCCCGAGAAGGCGCGGGGCGGAGGCGTGCAGAGAGACGGCGTCCTGCGCATCGGATGGGCACGCACCAGCACGTTTTGCACCGGCGTCGTTCAGACTGCCGTCGCCGTCGAGCACCAGCTCCTTCTCCTCATCGTCACCTTCTTCACTGGCGGACCACGGCTCACACACGGCGGTCCGCCCGCGCATCATGAAGTACCGAGAGCGCACCACCACCACCTCCCCCGGCCTCGCATGGCCGCCGTCTGCACCGACAGCACCGAGAAACCCACTCGCCACGTGTTTCTTCTTTAAGGGGGATTCAAAGCCGCGGAGGTCATCTCCTCTCTCCTCCTCCCCTCTCTCCCGCTTCACGCCAGTCAAGGCTTGCCGACCCCCGCTCAGGTGCACCACCACCTTATTTGACGACAGCTCCTCGAAGCCGGCGTAGGCCTTCAGCGACGTCTGCCCACGCCGCGTGCGCTGCAGGTAGCGTGTGACACACGACTGATACGTGCCGCGGTACAGCCGCAGCGTGCAGGGGTCACAGAGGCACCGCGCGCACACGTCCTGAGCAATTTCCTTTGCCCACCTCTCCCCCACCAGCTGCGTCTTGAGCAACGCGTTCGCGTTGCCGCCTACGCTGCTCGGCGGTGGCGCAGGCAGCGAGTGAAAGGTCACGATCTCCTGCCGTAGGGGGCAGTATACGAGGTGGTGCGCGAAGCAGTAAAAGGCCTCGAGCAGTCGTCGACGGTAGCGTGCCAGCTCCTCAGCGGGGAAGCCGTACTCTGTTTCTAGTATGGTGAAGACCTGGCGCAGCGAGGTGGCATGCGCAACGAGCCTGAAAGCTTTCTTGATGCCGATGTTGCGCAGGTTCGTCACGTAGTCGCAGCCGGCCATAATGCAGCCGAGCAGGAAAGACTCGTAGGTGAAGGCGGACGCAGCGGCGCCCCTGCAAGGATCCTCCGCACTCCCCTCCACGGAGACGCCAAAGGGAGACGGGGGCGAGTGGGGGAGAGGCTGCGCGGCTGCCGCCCGCATGCGGGTGTGGCCGCCGCTGGCGTGAAGTCCTCCCCTTCCACCTGCCAGGGGTGCGGTGAAGCTCGAGGTGTGCAAGGAGCCGGACGTCGTCGTCGGCGCGGTCGCGGCCACAGCACGAAAGAACTGGGGTGCACACACCGCCGGCTGCAGCACCTCGCACTTGCCGGAGAAGGTGTCCAATTTCGAAATGACGCAGGGGCAGTAGTAGGCGATCAAGTCGGAGTCCTCTGAGGCGGCCGCCGCGACGTAGCCCTCCCGACACAGGTAGGCCAGCTGCGCATCTGCCTCGTAGGGCGCCACGATGCACTCCACGTTGCGCTCCTCCTTCAGGACTTGAATCACGGCGTGGGCGAGCTCTGTCGAGATGTCCACCGCCTTCTCCAGCAGCTGCACCGCCTCCTCGTAGAGTCGAGATGAGTGTGGCAACGTCACACGCGAACGCCGCTGCTGCGAGCGCTCCTCCATTTGGTGCGTGCCGTCGCTGCCCGCTGTCGTCCATCGTCGGCGCTCATCGCAGTAGAGCTGCTCCAGCCGCAGCATCGCCTCCGCGAAGGCGTCGTGCCGGCGGCGCTGACGCTCCTCGTCGGTGGTCCCCTTCATGGGCATCTCGTCGCCGTCAAAGACGCAGACTGGCGTCACACCGAAGCGCTGCAGGGCGGTGACCTTGTCGAGCACCAACGTGATGAACTGGTCGTCCAGCACGAGTACGTCATCGATCGACGGAAGAGGGAGGTCATGGGCATGTGCTGGTGTCAAGGCGTTCGTCGGCACCCCCGTAGCGCTGTCGAAGCGTTCCTTCTTGACTAGCGGCGGCGGAGCGGAGGGCTCCAAAAGGCACGGTTGGTTGCTGCTTGCGCCGCTGTACTTTGCCTCCAGGTACGCGAGGACGGCCTCGGTATTGATGCGCACGCACCTATGGACGCAGCGATGTAACCAGACGTACATGTCGATAGCAACTCGCTGTCCGCGGAACTGCGAAAGGTGGCCGTCATCCACATACTCGCGAAGCGCGTGCCAAAGGCCTTTGATTCCCATTGGGATTACTCTATGAAAAATTGTTGAAGACGCCAAAAAACAGAAGAAGAAATGGTGTATAGAGAAGGCCACACACACATCAAAGCGGCAGGACAGCAGCGGCCCAGCTCTCCTTTAATTATTCGTTTACGTTCCTTTTCTGACTCATAAGTTGCGGAAGAGGAGAGCAAGAACAAACGAAAATTCCTCCGTAGGGGGAAGGCCAAAAGCAACACCGAAGAAAACGTAGTTGAAATGAATCCTGGCCGTTTAGGGGGCTAAGCGAGCTGCAGCATCCGCAAAAGTGCCTGCGATTGCCACGTTACTCTACCGCACCAGCCGCAACACAAGTTTATTACGTACGCACACGTAGTCGTCTCAGCTAATTTCTTAGAAAAAGAAAGTGGTAGGAGGTGGGGAGTGAAGTCTGACTTCTGTTGTGGGGAAGCATGTGCTGTGCGCAGCGTACAAAACACCGACGTCGCAGAGAACAACAGAAACGCGCTGCTGCGGCAAGTAAAGAAAAGCAAAGGGAAGAGAGAGAGAGAGAGAGAGCAAGATGAAAAGAAACATATGCTCGCAGGGAAGATGGCGATGACGAACGAGCTGCGGTGCAAAAACATGAACGGCCACGTTTGTCGGTCCCGCAACTCCGTCACACACGCACGTGGGTGGAGAGGCGCGCTTCGCAGTTGCAGTTGCCAAAGGATCACGTACTGGAAACACCATCACAGAGGCGCCATGGATAAGGATGCAAAAAGAGAACGGAAACGATTGGTATAGCGCACTCTCACCTACAAGCGCGGGTATTCTGAAGATCGCAGGAGTGATTGTCCGGTGCGCGGAACGCGTAAACACGACAATGAACTCTCACACACCAGCACATGGCCTGTCCAGCGAGACACATCACAGTCTTCGCTCTTATGTCATGGGACCAGCTAAGTTGGAGTGAGGATACTGCGCGATACAGCCTCCCAGCAGGCACCTCTTACCTTCAAAGCAATTCCGCTGCTTTCTGCGCGACTTCAACCAACTATGGAATCTGGCCTTCGCGATGCGAACACAGGAAACGTCAGAATTTTGGTTTTGTTTTCTCTTCTATACTTTTTTTGGGGGTGTCTCTGCGCATTGCGTTGAATTCTGAGAAACAACGCGCAGCAGACCTTTCGTTTTATTGCTATTGAGGTTTCAATCAAGTGTACAAAAAAGAGAATGGGTGAGGTGTTAAGAAAGGCAGAAGGAGAATCTGAAAGGAATATATACTTAGTTGACGGCCTCCGGTCCGCGCAAAAGCATAACGATGAAGATGCGTTCTTTTCGCATCAACCGTACTTTCGCAAGAAGACAGAGGGCGACGAGGGACGCCACGCCACCGCGTACGGGGCGTCGTCCAAGGGAGAACCCACCGAAGACGAACCCACCGAGCCGCTGCTGCGCGGACTCACGTCTCCACTGGCGCTTCGACTGCCGAGGGACGGAGGACGGCGACGGGGGCTCTGGCGGTCGCTGAGGCGGGGGTGGCGGTGCAGGGCGGAGCGATGCGCAGGCGGCAACGAGGTGCGCCACAGAAGCCGCGATCCGCCACGGGCTCCCGCAACGGGCCGGGAGACGGCAGGAAGGGAGTGCTCAGAGAAGGCGAACGGCGCCTCCTGTGGCGACCTCCAGCGCCGCACCACCGAGTCGTCTGTGGGGCGGCGGGCCTGTGCTGCAGGGGTGCTGCGGCGGGAGTCCTTCGAGGGTGAGGGAAGTGGGGTGGCGGCCGACGCGCTGCGTGACGGGTGCGAGCACCGCACGCTGTCCTCCACAGCCGTGCACCTCCTCTCGGTCTCGTCGCTGCAGCTTCGTGCGGCACCGGCGGGGGGAGGAGGAGGAAAGGGCAGCGGCACCTCGGACCCACGAGGAGTTCCCGAAGAACTGCAGCACGGAGAGGTCTCGTCTTCAAAACCGAACATGTTGAGGCTTTTTTTTTAAAAAGATGCGGTGGCGATGGTCTGAGTGATTAGTGAGAGAGAAGGAGGAGAGGAAAAGGTGTGAATGGCTGCCGTCTCGCTGCTGCACCGCAAATTCGCCTCCGTCGCAGCACACATTGGACAACTACACTTGGGCAACTTTAGGCGCCACGATAGCCGACATACCCACAAAAACCCTACCCGTTGTCCGCCGTCGCACGTCGGTGTAGATGGATTCCCTTCCAGCGACGGTAGTACCGTACGTGCTCTCGTCACCTCGAATGAGGTACCCGCCGGATCCCCAACGTGTTGCGAATACGGGTCAGTAAGGCGGAGAGGGCCCCCATAAAGCAGAGCACGACCTGAAAACCTTCTCGCTGCGGCATACCATTTGTTTCATCTGTGAAAGGAATCGAACTCAAACCCACGAGCACTCCCTATGAACCCATTGCGCTTGTGTTGAGCTCGCACGTGCGGCAGGCGGTCGGTCGCCATAGCGATCTGCACTGGCACGCGGTAGCCACGAGCACGCAACGCCTCCCGGCACCGCGCAATTTCATGTGTCCCCCGTATGAGCAGCGCACCTCGTGCCGCGGAGTGAGTGGAGCCTTCTCCCTGTTCGCAGACGGTTCTTTCACCGCAACCTCGTGTACCCAACGCGGTGGACACGCTCTGGCCTCGCCGTCCTCCTCCCCCACGGTCACGGCTCCCCCTCTTCCTCCTGCCCGAGTCGCATCCGCGAAGCCGACGATGCCGCAGTCCCGCTCGTCGTGCGGTGCCTCTCCGGGTCCGAAGATGGTACTTCACTCTCTTCTCAGCAGCCACTGTCCTGCTTCTCTCAGGAACGCCTCTGCCGACACGGTGAGGCGCGGCAGCACGCCGTCCCCGCCTGCGCGGGCCCGCAGTGCGTAGAAGGGTAGCCGATAGTTTTCCCCGCGTGGTGCATACGGCGCACAACAGGAGAGAGGGAGGGAGATGAACGACACGTGAGTTCTCCGAGCGCACCACGGTTTCGCCACAGGCTGAATTTCCCTGTAACGAGCGCGTTCGACGATGCCGAGCTCCTTCGTTGCAGGCGTGCTCATCCCGAGCAAGTCCCGCCTTTGGAACATTCTGGCGGCGTCGGCCTGCGTGATCACCTCCTCCTTGGCAAGACGACGACCAACTGCCGGATACCTCGGCAGAGTGTGGCCAAGGACGTGTGCCCGCTGACACTCATGAGCTCGGTGGTCGTCAGGTCCTGATCGTCTGGATGCCTCACCGCATCGTTTGTTGTGTGTCTGATATATAAAGAGAAAAAGAAGAGAGGCGAGAGAAGTGCGGTGTGCGAGTGCAGAGATCCTTTTCATGTGCACGAGACCTCGTATTGCTACGCTGACACCACGGTGGAGTCACCGTTCTCAACGTGCAGCTCCCTTTCCGTCACACGCGCTCGTTACCCGTTATAACCGTATCCGCTCAATTCTGAGAAACAACGCGCAGCAGACCTTTCGTTTTATTGCTATTGAGGTTTCAATCAAGTGTACAAAAAAGAGAATGGGTGAGGTGTTAAGAAAGGCAGAAGGAGAATCTGAAAGGAATATATACTTAGTTGACGGCCTCCGGTCCGCGCAAAAGCATAACGATGAAGATGCGTTCTTTTCGCATCAACCGTACTTTCGCAAGAAGACAGAGGGCGACGAGGGACGCCACGCCACCGCGTACGGGGCGTCGTCCAAGGGAGAACCCACCGAAGACGAACCCACCGAGCCGCTGCTGCGCGGACTCACGTCTCCACTGGCGCTTCGACTGCCGAGGGACGGAGGACGGCGACGGGGGCTCTGGCGGTCGCTGAGGCGGGGGTGGCGGTGCAGGGCGGAGCGATGCGCAGGCGGCAACGAGGTGCGCCACAGAAGCCGCGATCCGCCACGGGCTCCCGCAACGGGCCGGGAGACGGCAGGAAGGGAGTGCTCAGAGAAGGCGAACGGCGCCTCCTGTGGCGACCTCCAGCGCCGCACCACCGAGTCGTCTGTGGGGCGGCGGGCCTGTGCTGCAGGGGTGCTGCGGCGGGAGTCCTTCGAGGGTGAGGGAAGTGGGGTGGCGGCCGACGCGCTGCGTGACGGGTGCGAGCACCGCACGCTGTCCTCCACAGCCGTGCACCTCCTCTCGGTCTCGTCGCTGCAGCTTCGTGCGGCACCGGCGGGGGGAGGAGGAGGAAAGGGCAGCGGCAGATACGGCGACGGGGAGCGGCGTGGGCTTGGTGGATAACTCAGTCGCTGCGGCTCCACCGCCTGGACATCTGTGATGGCAGGCAAGTAAGGGCACCACGGCGATCGGGGCAGTGGCTGCGGCTGCTGCAGCTCCACCAGAAACTGCTGCTGTCGTCCCCACACCCCGTTTTGATCTTGTCCGTGCTCAGGTTGCACTGGCGGGAGAGAAACGACGGGGGCAGTTGCAGGAGGCGCAGGCGGTGGCGGCAGCGGTAGCATCAAAGGCCCACACGGTGTTCCCGGATAAGGACTGCAGTTCGGGGAGCGTCCGTAATAGTAGTACGGAGGCAAGCCGCTGCCACTCATCGCAGCTGGGTTTGTGTTGAGGGCGGTGCTGCTCATGGGCGTTGGGTTCACAGCGGACATCTCCACCATCCCTGTCACAGCGGTGGGCGTGTACGACCCCTGCGCTGACGGCCGCATCGTGCGCCACTCCGCCACCAGGCACTCCGCCCTCTTACGTGCTTGGTGCTCCACCCACCGTCTGTGCGAGGGAAGGAAGCGCCACAGCTTGCAGAAGAAGACAGCAGCGAGGCCGAGGAGAACGCCTGTGTAGACGCGGGAGGCGGCGACCATGACGAAAACTGGCAGGCACACGGCGGCCACCACGAAGGTGATGAAGCAGTCGATGACGCAGTACCGACTGCGGGAGAACGGCGAGAACTCGACGCCGCAAACGAACATGGTGAGAAGAAGCAATTTTGTCTGTTAAGGAAGCAAAAGGTCTGAAGCACGAATGAGAACACCAAAAGAAGTTGGTTCTGCGTAGTAGAAAAGCGTCGAGGACGCACGACGGTGATGTAGAGCTGGTCGTTCTCTGTGATGGGCGTGACTTCTGCGGGCTGAGAAGAAAGGGGAGAGGATGGGGATAGGACAGACGGAGCGAGGGAGAGAGAAAGAGAAAGAGAAAGAGACAAGAACAACTCGCTTTTCTTTTGCAGACTCAACATGGGATGCTAGAAACCACACTTACGGATCGCGCCCCGGGTGGGGAGGTCCACCTGAACGCCGGCAGCCAGATTCACGCCACCGCTTCGCATCGTAAAGGTGCATAAGTGCTCACGAAGGAGAGCGAGAAAGAAAGAAAAAGTCGGTCTTCGGTTAATTGCGGAGGATGCGCGAAGTCAACATTCGGTTTTACTTTGATGCTTCGGGAGAGAAGCGGCACAAAAGAGAGGCGTGAGGGGGAGAGAGAGAGCCAGATAAAACATTAAAAAAGCAAATACAAGAAAGAATTGAAGTGTTGGACGCCGCACGGGCCTCCGATGGAAGCACCACCGCAAACGCGGCGCCTCCTCCTCCGCATTTCAAAAGAAAAACACGCAAACGCAGCAGCGACACGCCCTAACAGGGAGAAGGCGTCGCCTTTGCGTGCGGGGTCCGCTGCGCTCTCGTTGTTTTTCTTTTTGAAATGCTGAGGATGAGGGAAAAAGAGGGAGGCAGGTGTTTAGCCTTCCCGGAGCGATCCACGCGGTACGTGCGTGAGTGCACCTTGTCGTCGCACGTTTGACGACAGGATCGAGATGCGCGACGGCGAGCGCACCGTGGATGCCATCGACACGCTGGCTGGCGTGTCCGCCTCGTGGTCCAGCAACAGCGGCGACGTCGACCGGCTCACGCCGAGGCTCGGCGGCACGTAACCGTGGGTCTGGCACGACGACGCGGGGGAGAGCGACGGAAACGGCACGGCGGCGCTCAAAACGAACTCGTCTGCCGCGATGGCGCTCAGCGTGGGCGACGACACCGATGCAGCGGAGTCCTCCATACTGGATGGCGGGTGCCGTGAGACGTGGGTGAAGGGCTCGTGCGAGCGGCGGACATACAGCTCCCCCTTCTCCGGCTCTGGCAAGGGGAGAGAACGTGTGGGCGAGGCGGACGCGGACAGAGCCAAAAACTGCGAGGACGACTCCAGCGCGGAAGCCGAGATGCGCGGCAGCGGGGATGCGCCACGCAGCGAGGTCGAGCCTTGCGAGATCATCAAGTGCGCGTTTCCTCCCTCGCCCTCCGCCGCCGCCGCCGCCGCCTCTTCTCTTTCTTTCCACGGTGTCGGGCAGCGCAGTGGGCTGATGGAGTCCCTGGTGGTGTCTTGGAGGAGCTTCTGTGGCGTCCATCGGCCCGGTCCCCACTCAAAGCTGCTGTCCTCCTCGCCGCCCCTCCCATACTTGTCTCCAGGGAGGCAATTCCCTCCATCCTCGCGGTGCACCATTGCCGACAGGATCCACAACGCCGTGGTGTCGGACGACTCAGTCCGTCGGTGCACGTTGCCCACACCCCTCTCCCGCATGCAGCGGTCCGCGCGGCGGTGGGCGGTGCGTCGGACGTGGGCGCGCTCCCACGGCAGCCGTCGCCAGAGGTGGAAGGTAAATGCGAGGGTCCACCCAATGACGGTGGCGCCGTACGGCCGCGATCCCGGCACGAGGGCGAGAAACGGGACGCAGACAGCCACGACCATCACCAGCACCGCGTAGTCGATGATGACGTAGCGATGCTGCAGGACGAAGGCCTTGAGCACCATGGGAACGGCTTGTTTGTTTGGGGGAGGGCCGGGGGTACACGACACAAAAAATGGAGGGAAAACGGTTAAAGAGGAATGGTGGCGGTGCGGCCGACGGATAAGCAAAAGCAGAAGGTGTTATTGGTAGTTTGCGGTCTTGCAACGGTGTACGAGCACAACCCAGAAGAAAAAAAAGGAGGTCGTTGTGCGAGATAGATACAAAAGGAAGGAGAACAACGTTAGCAGCAACGCAACTACACGGACTGTCGAGGAGAGACATCAAATATCTTTCGATCTTGCCTCGGCTTTACATTTCCAGTTTAATCCCTTTCTTCCAGAAAAGAAGAACGAAACTTGCCGAGGGATGCCTGAGCGTAGAAAGCGCTATCGTTTACCAAGGCCGCTTCGATACATCGGACCCCTCCCAGGCGCACGAGTGGAGCGCACGCTCGCTTCTGAAGGGAACGTCGACAGCGGGATTTGAAGGTACGGGCTGCGTGCATATCAGGGCACAAACACCGCTGTTAGGAAGAAAATACGGGACTTAAGGCTGTGGGAAATTACTTTCGCATTTAGCTGTTACGGTGCTCCTTTAGTCGTCGGTGGTGAGCAGTAGAAACAAGCATGACACAAGAAGAGGCCATTTAACTTCAATTTAGATGCAAAACGAAAAGGCGTTGGGAAGATGTAATCAATCCCAGTGAAAGAGGGTCCGGCAACCGCGGACCCGCCGTCCCCTAGGTGTAAAGAGAAAAGCTTGCATGATTGCTCGCCGTTCACTGACCAGGGCAAACAGCGGCAATGGCAAGAGCAGCTGACGCAGACGCGTACACACACGCACACACACATCACAGTCAGGCAGAGGAGCTTTAGATGGCCTGATAAAACTACCAGGAAAGGGCCATTACGTTTGGCAGGCTTTTCTGTTTCGTTAGTAGTTCTCCGCAGCACCTTCATGGCCCTTCGCCCTCATCTTAAGCGCGCTGCCGTTTGCGTGCCTTGTCGCGCTTCTGTGCCTCTTCCTCGCGGCGCAGTTTGTTTTCCCGCCAAAGTCCCTCGTCATAACGGCGTATGGCCATCTTGAACTGCGCCATCGCCTCCGCCAACGTCGCTCCCTCGGCTTCCGACGCATCCTTCGCCACATCCGCCGACTGCCCCAGCGCAGAAGAAGAAGTGGTGGTCGTTGTTGCCGACGTCGGGGCACGCCTCCGCACGGCACCGGCTTTGGGCAGCGTCATGAACTGTTGGGGGCCGCGTGCTAACGACGCCGCCGCGTAAGACGAGACTTCCTCCACCGTCAGCGGCCCAGCCGCGACCACCGCAGACTTGTGCTGGGCGGACACTGCGACGGCCCGCGCGGTGGCGTCCTCCAGCTCTTCCGCGCGTTGTGCGGCACGCAGGGCCGCCTCACCGACCACCACCGTCTCCGCCACTGTTGTGGCTTCGCCGCCAAAGTCAAAGGCGAATTGCTCCGCATCGTCGAGGAAGAGGTTCTTTTGCCGCAGCTTTTCCGATGCGGTGAAGTTCCTCTCCGGTGCCGCGGGGGACACCGCCTCCTCCACCGTCCTCTCCATGTCTGCTGCTGCCGCCGCTGCTCCTGTTGCTGATGGGCGGTTGTCGGGTAACGCGATGGACGAAGAAGACGGCGTGACTGCCTCTATCTGTTCCTCGGCAGTAGAGGATGAAGACGACGACGACGACGACGATGGAGAGCGGCCGCTGCCCGTTGTGTGTGCGGGTGGCTTCGTGTGCGTCATGCTTATCCAAGAGGAAACAAACTGTGAAGCGACTAGAGATGGCGCTGCAACTCGATTGCGGCGGCGAAGACGAATCCCGAGAATATCAAAGAAGGGGGAAAACAGACAAAGAGAGTGGGGAAGTGAAAACGTTTTTCATGCGCCTGCAGGAGGAACGCAATCCACAGCGGTGCTCGTCGACATCACAAAAGGCCCAGCGGTGCTTTTGGCGCCCACACCCACGTGCAACCCACGGACGTCGCAAGCTTCTACATCAACGGTCACGGTATAACTTACCCGCAGCGCACAAACGTACTGAAAGTCCCTTCTTTCTTTTTCAGGGATGCGCTGCGCTTCCTCGAATACAACGTCTACAGCAAACAACAACGGTAGTGTTATAAACGGAAGCAGTGTTCGTCCTACGCCGACTTTACCCTACGTTGTCTTAACCCTTTTTTATTATTCCTGCTCTTCTGTATTGCTTCTAGGGGGACGTTCGATTCCATCGTCTACGCGTATATGTCAGCAACTGTCACCTCGCACCGCACCGTCCACGCACTACCAAAGAAAATAAAGAATTCGTGTGGCACAGCTGCCTTCACGCCAGTCAACAGCAGCGTGTGCAGAAGCACAAGAAAAACAAAAGGTGATATGTGGAGCATGAATAGCAACGCTTTTCGACATCACGGTACAAAGGGGGAGGGAGAAGAAGAGGTAGAGAAGCGTACACGGAAAGCAGCGCCGTCGACGGAGATCCGCAGCCGGTGCGAGGCAGGGAACAGCATAATTGTCAACGTTTCCAGCACCTATCTCCATTGCTTACTTTCCCTTCTTTCTTTTCGTTTTTCACAAATAAATAAATAAATGGAAAATAAGGAGCAAGACGAAAGCAGAGATTGCACCTTACCACGCCTTCCACTCACGCCGCCCTCGACGCACGTGGTCGCGGTGCCTTGGTGTTCATCGCCGGCATCGCGGTCAGCTGTGCGTTGTCCAGCAAATTCACGAGGAACCGGCGCTCCTTGTAGTGCATGCGGTACGCAAAGCCCACATCCAGGCAGAGACGGCGGATGTTCACGTCGAGGAAAATATCCGGCCGCTTCTTCATGATTTTGTACAGCACCTTCTTCGCATTCTCGCAGCTGACAGGGTTGGAGAGCGAAAAGAGATTATCCCACACACGGCGTGGCACATCCTTGCTGCCAGGCAGCGGCATCGCCTCGGCGTGCGCATGCCGGGCGGCCGTGTTGTTCGGTGCCACCTTCCGTGCGATGGATACCCATTTCGACGGCTTCAAGTGCGCAAAGGACACGGCATAGGGCACTCCATCCGCGCTCACGTACGCGTTCGGGTTCAGCAACACCGAGTAGCCCCTCTTCACCAAGTCATCGGCACCGCGGCGAGAGCGCGCCAAAATGGCGCTGCCCAGCATCCCCACACAGCGAATGGAAATGGTGGAGGCGAAGCGGGAGAGTGCGATGAAGCGGCGCTGCAGCCCCGGCACGGAGAGCATCAGCCCGTAGCCCACCTCCGTCGATCCGACTTCGGCCACGCACAGAAGGGCATCCTTCAGCAATAGTATGTCGCCGACGCACTCCAATGAGAAGGACTGCCCCGATGGCTTGTAGCCGCGAGCGGCGGAGATAATTCGCGTCGAGGATGGATTCAGATACCCCTTCTTGAGCCGCTCCAACTCCTTCGCCGTCGCTCGGTTCGCCTGCTCCAACTCATTGCTCCCACCGTCACTCCACACAAGGCGGCCACCGCCGTTGTTCACGTTGCTGGCCACAACAGTTTGGTTCTGCGGGGCTCCGGTGCCGCCGTTGGTGCCAGGCGACGCCCCCGACACACCTCGAAACCCGTCCAACCCTCGCAGCGGGTTGAGGGAGTTCGCCGTCCCCATGTACTCGCCGGTGCTGCTGTAGAGAGCCATCGTACCGGCGGAGTTGACTAAGGTGCCGCTCGCTGGGATCGACGTGCCGCCACCGATGCCTGCATTCCCGCCTGCAGGGGCGGCGCCCGTGCTGTAGTAAGCGGTGCTGTTGCCTGGATGAGCCTGCTGCTGCTGTGCCTGCCGTTGCTGCAACCGCTGCTGGCGCATGTAGCGGGTTGCATCTGCCGCCACGTGGAAGTCATCGTCGCTGCTCTCGTCCGACGAGGTGTCCTCATCGTCGCTGAGGAGGTCGTCGTACACGATGTCTGGTGGGAGGGGCTGCTCCAACAGCCGCTGCACCGACCGCGTCCACAGCCGGCTGTGCTTGAACATCGCGCACCCCTCCGTCGAGCTGCACAGCACCGAGGCGAAGTGCACGGGGAAGAAGTTCGCCCCCATGGCCGCGGAGGAGGTGAGGAGCGGCAGGTTCGTCGTCGCGCCGCTGCCCACGCGGGCGTACTTGCCCACCGCGGAGTCGGAGAAGGACCGTGTGTGCCGTCGCAACGGATCGCTTGTGGAGGAGAGGGAGGCGTTGCCGCTGCCCACACGCGCGTTTGTCGCGAACGGGGCCGGCGTGTTGAAGCTGGCGGTCTGCATTCCCTTCAACATCAAGACGTACTGCACCGACTGCGTCTCCTCCCAGCGGCGCAGCTCCTTCTCCACCCACCCATAGCACTGCAGGAAGCGGAAGCCCGCTGGTCGGCTCGCCACGAGGTAGAGGAGGACGTCGAGGTGCAGCTGCTTTGCGTGGCTCAGAATCACGTCGCTCACCATCAGCACCGTAGGGAAGCACTCGATGAGGTAGTCGAGGCCTTCGTCGGAGCACATGCAAATGCTCAGCAGCAGCTTAAACGCGCTCTCAATCACACTGAAGAAGTCGTCGTTCAGGGCCTGCAGAAGCGTCTCGATGCCCCACTTCATGGAGGTCGAGAGGTCACGCCAGACAGCTCGTTTCAGCTGCTGTGCGGCGCACAGGCGAATAGTGTTGCTCGGGTTCGACAGCGCGGCGCGGAAGGTGTGGCGGATGTCGTCGCACACGCCGTAGTTTGGCACTGCGCCGAGCGTAAGGTACTGCAGGAGTTGGTAGCAGACGTCGTGGAGAGTGTCCTCCTCACTGGGGCTCTCCAGACGTGGGCCCTGCAGCTTCGAAAACATGCTGTCGACAAGGCTAAAAATGCTGTAGTCGCGCATCAGCAGCAGGCCGTTTGCGTGCGCCGTCAGTCGGCCCGTCATGCGCAGCAGCGACTGGCCGATGCGGGTGTTCACCGCCGCCCGGCGCAGGGTCACCGGCTTGCCAACCCGCACCTCCTTCAGCATGCCCGCGATGGCCAGGACGAACCCGGCCTTCTCGAGCAGCGCCGTCCCCTCCCGTGTCTCTAGCAGCAGATCAATCAGCTCCACACCCAGCAGGCAAATCTGCGGAGTCACTGCATTCACTGGCAGGTTATTGAAGGTGCAGCAAATCTGTGGTGTGCTGAGGGTGCGCGACGGGGTGAAGAAGAGCACGAGCGACTCCAGCAGCTCACGCGCGGCACGGAAGCGATGCTGCAGGCGCAAAGGCCCCTGCACCAACGCACTCAAGATGTCGAAATTCCACGTCTGAAAGCTCTTCTGCCGATCCACCTTCGCCTCGCGCACCATCGTGGCAAAGGTGGGGTCGTCCATGTCTAACGTGCCAGGGGTGTTAAGGGCGGTGTTCGCCATCTGCGTGTTGTTCGCCGGCACCATTGTCCCGACCTTCCCCGCCGACTCCCCTCCACCGACTTTTTTGTAGCTGCGGAAAAGTTGCGAGGTCAGCCCGCCTACAAACAGGCTGCCCTCATTCGCCAGGCGTCCCACGGCGCTGTTAAACGCCTCGTGCAGCTTAAAAACGATCACCTGCGGCAGCACGGTGTCCATCAGCACAAACATGTCCTGCAGCAAATTTGACGCCGCCCGGGTGACGACACGGTTCTTGTTTACCGTCTGCATCAGCTCCGTAAGGGCGTAAGGCAGGCCGTGGTAGTTCAGTGTCATGAGCACGCGACCGAGAAGGCCGTCCAAAACGTGGTAGCCGAGTGCCTTTGTGGTGGGGATAAAGTCGTCTTGGATGGGCATCTCGCCATTCGTGTCGCTCAAGAGGAAGTCGCCCACAAAACTGCTATTGTCCAACTCTGGCGTGTCGCTCGCCAGCGCGTCACCCTCTGCCTCGCCTTCCTCCGTCTCCTTCGCTGCTTTCCGCAAGCGGTCTTCCTCGAAGCCTTTCCACGGCTTCATGGGCACAATGCCACGGTGCGAAGCGAGTCGGCACAGCAGCTTGTTGAACATCGTAATGATCACCATCTTCGTATCCAGCGACCCCGGCAGGTGCAACACATCGATCAGTGAGCGCAGGCTGGTTACCTCAGAGCTCACCCACACGTTGCCGACCCACGTCGACATCACGGCGACGATGAGGTCCTTCGCGCTGTTCTGTGTAACCAGCAAGTCGGTCCCACTCTTCTCTGTCGTCGTCAAAAAGGGAGCAAAGAGGGTGCGCAGGTCCGTGATCTTGATGTACTGCCGTGTGCTGGGTGCGTCAAAGAGCTCGATCATGGTGAAGACGATGCTGTGCGCCTCATCGGCTGTCACCCCGCCCGTCGCGCTCACGCAGGCGTTCAGCAGCACGTCGTGCAGCCCCACCGCCGTCGCCTGATCGGTCCTGTTCTGCAGCAGCAGCAGCGCAAGACGAATGGCGTTGCTGCGCCGCTTCGGAGAGGCCGTAGCGACCGAGTCGGGGTGCTCCAACAGGGACAGCAGGCGATAAAACCAGCCGAACGGCACACGGGGATAGGCCTTCGGATCGGCCGTGTTGAGCAGCAAAATGCGCTCCATCACCTGCAGCAGCGCGTCCACCTCCGCATTCAGCCCGCGGTCACCGCAGAAGGCGACCCACCGCACCGCCTCACCGTCGGAGAGAAACGCCTGCAGAAAGCGGCTGCTGCCGGCGCAGGTGTACACCATCCGCATGCCCAGCAACCGCAGCAGGCGACTAACCGACGCCACCGCGGCGGCGGCCAGCGAGGCCAACGCCTCCGGCTCCGGCAGCTCAAATACCGTCTCATTCCGCATGTACCACTTCTCGCACAGACCGCAGAAGTCGCTCATGCGCTCCGCACGGGTGTTGAGCTGCACCAACGTGTCGTAGCCGCCGACACTGCAGATACCATCGCCCACTGCCGGCACGCTGACGGCCTTTACGCTGAGCGACAGCCGCTCAGCGTCGTGGTCGGCATCCCGCTGGGTCCCGGAGAGAGGGGCAGAGTTGGCTTCGAGGTCCGCCTTGGAGCCAGCCTCTCCCCGCGCGTCTACGGCTGAGGCGGACGACGTGCTGGTGACGGTCGCGGCAGGGGCCGGCGGTGCCTGGGTGCCGACAAGGATATCGCCCACAGTGGTGCGTGCGACACGGCTGAAGTAGGCCTGGGCGGAGGTCAAGTACTCCTGCCACGCCGCACGGAGGCGGTCCTGTGCGTCCTTGGTGGCGGCCTCGACGTCTGTGTTGCCTTCCTCCTCCGCAGGGGCCACGAGCTCCTTCTCCAGCACATTTTTGTACCGCGCCCGTGCCTTGTTGAAGTCTTTCAGATCAATGGTGTAGTGCTGGAGCAGCGTCAGCGCCTCCTTCGGCATGCCAGCCGTCGCCATGGTGAGAGCAAAGAATGAAAAAAGGTGTTGTTGCCTTGCAGGTTTTGGTGCGATGTGAGAAGGAAAATGAGATGTGACGCTTCTTTTGTTTCGCTGCGAAGTGCAAGTAAAGAAAGTCAAACGCTGCTCTTTTTTGCGAGAAGAGCGGCTGCAGAAAAGTTCACGCGCGAGTATCTGTATGCGTGCGTGGCTCCGCTAGTGTGTGTGTGTGTGCTGTAGCTTTCCGGCCGCAACAGAAACCAAGAAAAAACTAACACGGCAATGACGGTATCCGCAGCGTTTCTCACGTTCTCAGGCGATCAAAGCGGTACGCGATTGCACCCGCGGGAGAAATGGAAAGAAGAGAGCGGAGGAGAGAACATGAGATGGGCGGAAAGAAGAAGCGGATTTAACTTTTTTTGTGTCACCGCATGGGACACAAACGCGTGGGGTGGTTAGTGCGGTCGAGCGTCCAGGCTGGCACGTTTGAGAAAAGACAGTCTTTGGATTGTTGACGGCAATTTAAAGAAACCCGAACGGTGGACCCTTTCACTTTTCCCTTTTAGACGGACATCACGAAAAAAAAGGGGAAAAAGGGTCGCTGTTATTCGCTGCCAGTGTCGCGGGATAGTTTTCTTCTCTTCAAAGCACAGATGTTGGCTTCTACTCATATGATCATCTGCATCGAGCGCAGCTCACGCGCTGCCAACACTTCGGCTACCCTTCATAGGGGCGTTGGCGCCTCTATGGCTAGCGGCACCGTCTCGTGAGCCGCTGCGACTGCTACCAGCGGTGGTGCTCTGCACGCCGCCAATGAACAAGTTGGTGCTCCCCGTTTGCAGGTGTGTTCCACCGATCGTGAGATCAGGCCCTGACGTGGTACCCGTGGCTGCGCCAGCAGAAGCAGAAGCAGCAGTGGGGACGCGTGGTGCCCGTGACATGGCAAGTGCGCCGCCGCGTGCGAGTCGCCCTCTGGTGGGCGCTGTCCGCGGCTTCCCTGTACTCACCGACGAATGGCTCGATGTGGTGCGGCTCTGATCGCCGTTTGCCCCTGACAGCGATGTGGTGGGCAGCAAGACAGCAGAGGAGGGACCATTGCCCGTAGCGACGAGGCTCGGAGGCGCGGGCACGCTGTTCGTGTCGCCCAGTCGGCCCTTTCGTAGTTTTCCGGTGTGCGTTTTGCTTGCGTTGGACGCGCTGCGCGGGAACCCGGCTGGGGCGGAGGCCACGGAGGACGTCATGCTCATCTCCAAGACATCATCGCCGCCCTCACTGCGCATAGTGGAGGCGAAGGAGGAGCGCCGGGAGGAGGCGAGGGAGCGGGCAAAGACGGAGGCGCGGTGGCCTTCGATCACCTCGCGACGGCGCGCGAGGTGCTGCGTGGCGCTGTCCCACGACGTGTGTGGACGCGTCAAGTACTCTAAATAAGCATCGACATTGGCGTTGTCTAACTCCGACGTGAACCGCACGCCGGCGTGGCCGTCGGTGGTGCGGCGGGCTATCGTGGCGGTGGTGGTGGCAACGGAAGACGCGGACGTGGGTCGACCGGAGCGCGACGGTGGGGGATGCTCCGCTTTGGTCGGGTGTGCGGACGGCGGCGATGGCACCAACGGTGGAGACGCCGCGGAGGTGTGATCGGCGGGGGGGTTGGCGCCGGAAGTCGCAGAAGCTGTGGTGACGGGCCGCGCGCTGGCCGCTTCTGCCTCGCCGACGCGCGTCTTTAACTTGAGCGGTTTCATGCAATCAACGTGCGCTTCCAGGAAAAGACACAAGGATAGTTACAACGAGGTTGAGGAGGAGGAGTATCGTCACCGCAATGAAGCATCGGTGCTTCACGAGTGAGAGTTGGGGCAATCGAATGGTCGCCAGCTTAAGGAGGTGTATACAAAGAAACGAAAAAAAAGGAAGCTCGCTTCGAGAGCAGAGGATGCAGGTGATACGCAGTGGATGCTGGGGGGAGGGGGGGGGAATGTTTCAACAAGAAATGGTGTCGTAACTAATGAGCGGCTGAAAAGACCAACAGACGCTTTAGAAAAACCTTCGAAACGCAGAGTTATAGAGCGCCTGAGAGGGTGTCCCGCTTCAGCTCTGAGAACTCTGACGGCAAAACCAAAAAATAGAAGTAGAGGAAGACGGCAGAGAACAACTGAAGATTAAATCCGCATGCGAGTACGTTGGCACTTGATGCCGCCCTTCAAAGATCTTTGCTGTTACAGCTGTTGTTTCGCAGTGAAAAGCCTCAAAACAAAGGTCGCATTATGCAGCGGAAGTCGAAAATTGCTGTTATCGCACACACATTTTGATTTCCGAGAAGTCTACTCGTCTCAGCAACGCGCTGCACCGCAGAGGTATGCATCTTGGGTTGCAGTTCCTTTTCGCCTGATCTAGATCTATAAATGCCAACGCAGAAGCAAAGCTACCACGTTCACAGAAACAACGTATGGCTTCCGCTGTCGAAACATAAGAAGGAAACAGCCACGGGGACGCATGGGTGCATCCATACGAGCCCTTTCCTCCTTTCTGACTTTGTTGATTTCCTTCAAATTCCTTTACGCGAAAGGCGCTGCTCGTACTCAAGCCGCAAAAGCTCCTCCTCCATGGACGAAGCACGCGGCCCGTCTCCTGTCGGAGGTTGCTGCGCTGGCACGGCAGACATCGGTGGAGGTGCAGACGCACTGGGCAGCTCATTCGTCATCGAAAAGGGAGGAGGAGGGGGAGGTGTGACAGTGGCGCTCGCACCGGTGCCCCCGGCGTACACGCCAAAACTCGTTGCAGCAGCACTTGCAAAAGCCGCAGGAGCTCGTTGCTGTCCGTGGTACTCGTGCACAGCGCTCGGGGTGGTGGCGTTGTGGCTGTTGGTCGTCGTGGCCGTGAGAGAGAGACGCACCACCGCCCCGGCCACGACGGACTGGTCACGGCGTATCAGCGGCAGACGGAAGGCGTGCGGTTCATCGGGGTGCTGCACCGCCTGGTTCCACTCGCACACCGCCATCGCCCATACACACGTGTCGCTGCCTGCTGTCGCCGGGGGCGGGGGCGGGGCGGCCATCGCGTCTGCATCCAGGAAGAACAGCACCAGCGGCTCACGCACAACGGCGGCGAGCTGAGTGATGGACAGCACCGGGAGTGGGATACCAAGGGTAGTCGCCGCGCTGTCGCGTGAGCGGTCCACCGAGTAGGGCCACGTGTAGCGTGCCGTCGGCGGCGCAGCCAGCCATACCTCCTTCTGCAGCGCATCCACGCGGAAGTAGCACGAGAGTCGCGGGACAGGCGGCGGCAGGTCCGCTGGCAGCTCCAGTCTCTCCACATCGACCCACAAACACGTAACAGCACCAGCCAATGCGCCACCGGTGCTGTCACGGGTCGGCGTCGGCTGAGTCAGCAGCGATCGGTCGACGTGGATGAAGGACGCGGGGCCGTAATAAGGCGAACGGGACTCTTGCTCGGCGGGCGCGTGTGCGGCGAAGCTGCTGAAGCGATGCGACGGGTCTGCCCGTCCGCCATCTTCGACTCCTTCGGCGGCGGACGACGACGACGGCGCGCGGGCAGACCACGGGGACGCGTTGCGTGAAAAGCGCGACGGTGGAGGGGAGGGCGCGGGGAGGTGTACCACCAAGGCGCCGCTCGTCTCCGACATGCGAGAGCGTTGCTGCACGTAGAACGAAGAGCTGGACGAGGTGGCGTCGTCGGCATCGGCGACCAGCACGAGTTGCATTTGGCTGCGGTGGAGTCGCGAGAGAGCCGTCGCGGACGACTGCAGGGGCGCCGACGGCCAGTGCAGCGTGCGCTCCGTCGGCTGGTCCTTGGTGACATCGGGTGCCACAGCGTTGGTACGGCTCGCACGAAGCGGCAGCCGAACGTCTCCCATCGGTTGCAAGTCGGCCTCCGCAGAGGTGTTGGCTGTCATGCGCATCCAATCCAACAAGTGAGAGTCCTCCCCAACCTTCGAAGTGGGTGCGTCAAGCACCGCGTCCCCATCGTCCAGCCTCGTACGTGACTTTTCTACGGCCTCCTGTACCGCACGCAGAAACGCAGGCGAGTACGGCCGCCGCGCAGTGAGTCGGAGCTCCAGTGAGGCGATGTGGCGCTTTCCTGGTGTGTAGAGGTGCACGTGACCCTTCATAGTTGGCCGGGCAGAGTGACGACACTCTTCAGAAAGGATGATGTCCACCAAACTCACCTGGCCCTCTGCAATGGTCTCGAACATGTTCTCCGCCATGCGCAGACTTGGGTGGGTGCTGCTGCTGGCGCTGCTGCTGCCCGTGACGGCACTACTTCCTCCAAGGCTGCCCCGCCCGCCACCGTTTTTAGCTCTTCGGTGTTCACCGCCGCCCGCCGCCTCTCCTGTGGGAGGTTCCTTCGCCTCGGTGGTGGCGGCGGCGATGGCGGCGGTGGTTTCGCCCTCGCTGCGCACACGATGCAGCTGCACCAGAAGTTTGCGTGTGTGGAGATAATAAAGAAGGAGCGTGTCCATGGAGACACAGAAGGACGCGGTGACGTCGAAGAAGCCGTTGAGGCCGCGCACGGTGGGAGTTGTGATGGTCTCGTGCAGCAGAAAGTCAACGGAGCAGAAGACGTGAGAGAAGAGGTCCGGCACCCCCACCCCCTCCGGCACCTCCGCTGCCACCAGCTGGCCGAGGAAGAGCTCGAAGATGTTTTCATTGTCGCCGAGTTGGTCGATGGGCGCGTTGGATGCGACGTGATAGCCACGCAGGGACTTGACCTGGGCCTCAAGGAAGGCTACACGATCGAGCTGCCTCTCCAGCAGCTTGTGACCCGTCTTTTCGCGCCGCTGGAGGGAAGTCTCGGCAGCCGCCATGCGTGCCCGCTCATCCTTTTGCTGACCCGCCAGACTGTCCAGCCGGTCTTGCAGCAGGTCGTTTGTGAGCTGGAGCCGATGGACTTCGGAGAGCAGCGTCGCATTCACCTCGTGCAGCTCTTGCAGTTGGGCAGCCGCACTGGTCGGATCGGCGGGAAGGTCGGCTAAGAAACTTGCCGTCAACTTGAAGCCCTCGTCCTCCTGCACCTCTGTTGTCTCCTCCTCCGAGCCCGGTTCGCTCTCCACACCGTTGGCCTCTCCCGGCTCTTTGGCCTCTGAAGCACACTGCTCACGGCGGCGACGCGCTGCAGCCTTCGCCGCGGCCGCGGCTGTCGCCTTTCGGCACCGCTCGTCAAAAAGCAAGATGCCCTGGCGGTCCTTGCGGCCGAACACGTTCTGGATGTCGTCGACCGTAAGGTCTTTGGTATCGGCCACATGGCTTGGCCAGACGATGTCGAGTTTCGCCGCGAGCAACGCGACCTCGTCCTTCAGCGCGCGTGCCTGCAGCGCTGCCGTATCACGCTGCTCCTTTGCTTCCTCACAGTCTGCGCGGCACTGCAGATGCTGCTGCGTGCGCTCCGCTATATCCTTGTAGAGCAACTGGGACACCTGCTCCCAGTGCCCCGCCGCCGCCTTCCAGTCCGCCACGTCGGTTCGCACCTCCTCCCGGGCGTGCCGCAGCGCCTCTTCGGTCACTCGCACAAACTCTGACATGAGTCCGACGTGCTCGTGCTCGATTGAGTTGCGCTCCGCCTGCACACGTCGCAGCTGCGCCTCCAGGTCAGCGACGCGCGTCCCGCTCAGCGAGGCCACCTGCGCTTCGCGGGTGACGGTGATGAGCCGCTTCCGCTCCTCAACAAGCTGCGCGTTGAGGCTCTTCAGTTCCACCAGCATGTTTTCGTTTGCGTTCCTCTGCGCCGAGAGAGCGGACTCCGCCAAGGCGAGCTTCGAGCGCAGCTGCATTACCTCCCCGGTGCGATCGCGCGTCTCAGTCAGCAAGCTGCGAACGTCCTTCTGCAGCAGTTCATTGCTGTCTGCCCCCACTACGAGACGACTGCGGAGTTCGGCGATCTGCGTCTCCATGGAGAAGCGTATCTTTTCCTCTTCACCGACGCGATCGCGCAGGGTGCGCTCCATATCGGCGATGGTGTGGCTGGCGTTGGTGAGCTTCTGCGTGGCCAAGTCCCGCTCCCGCACGAGTTGGTGCATCTGCTGGGCCGCGTTGTCCAGCCGAGTCTGCACCGCCGCACACTGGGCGCGACTGCCGGCCAGCTCCCGCTGAAAGGTCTGCAAGGTGCCTGACGACTCATTCAGCTTGCGCCGCAGTTCCTCGTTGGCGTGGTAGAGGGCGCTGGCCACGACGTAGTTCTGCATGCTGCTCTGCCCGTCGGTGCCCCACACCATGGCGGGGTCCGGCAGGGCCGCCGCGTCTCCCCAGGCGCTGGCCTCGGCGATGGCGGCTGCGCGGGCGGCTTGCGGTTGGGCAGCGGAGGGCACGGAGACGTACTCCTGTGTGCTACTAGTAGTAGGACCCGATTGTTGCTCGGGTTGTGGAGAGGGTGAAAAAGAAGTGGAAGGTAAGCTGTGCGGTGCAGCTGGTGGAGCGCAGTCCCCTCTTCTGAGTGGGCCTTCTTGATCGGCGCTAGGGCTTAACGCGTCACTGGCGACGTGCTCAAACGCGGCGTGACTTTGTTGCGTAAAAGCGGGAGAAACTGGATTGAGTGGAGGATGAAAGGGTCCAGCGTCCGAAGTGCGCGGGCGGGCTCTGTAGGGAGGGTGTAGTCTACCTCGGCTGTCGGCAACGTTTTCGTAGCCGTACGACGAGGTCAAAGCTGGGTTACCCGCGGCGTGTGTTGTAGCCCACGAGGACGGTTGACGCGCCGACGTGGAGGAGAGAGACGGACCTTTTGGCGGGGCTTCGTTCTTACGGCGGGCGACTTTCATGAGTTTCAGCGCCTGCTCCTGCTCGTGGAAACTCTTTTGCAGCTGACGGTAGCGCTCATCCAGTGAGAAGTAGGAGTCTTGCCAGTCAATCCCTGGTGGCCGCGCCGTCCGCGCAGGGGGCTTAGAGGACATACTCAACGATCAGCTGGTGCTGACTCGAGAGAGGAAGAACTCCAACTATGTGTTTTTAGTAATGTGCGTGCGGGTGAGAAATACAATCAGTCTATGAGTGGTACACCGTACAAGCACGCGGCGAGGTCGAGGAGAAAGGGCACGGCACAGGATTGAGAGCCCGACGCTAACGCTAACAGGCACGATAGACCTAAATAATACTTCAGGTGCCGCAGCAGCAGCAGCAGCAGCAAATGATTCGCACACTTGCCGCTCTGCCTCTCGCACGCACAACGCGTAAAGACCGCAATGAAAACAATGGGTAAGAGAGGCAAAGTAAGAGGGAGGAGGCTATTATTCTTTGATTGGCTGTACTTTCCTCGCAAACAGGAAACGACACATCTAATTGCGTTTGGCCTCACCGTTACTACAGTTTTCGAGGCATGTATTTCGTTGTTCCTGGCGCTGTTGTTCCTCTTCGCTTCCCCCACGAGCAACGCGGAAGAACATGCAGCCGGAGGCACCCCGGCTACCGTTGTTCACAATAAGCGCAGCGCAAACCGAAGCGGGAGACGCACCGCGACGCTGTTTTCTTTGGACTCCGTTTACGTGACATGCGCACGCGTTTCGTCCTGTCTTTTCTTTCATTTCATTACACAGTTGTTTTCGTCCTCACGTAGAGTGGAGACAATCAAACGCTGACGGCGTTGCGGAAGTTACTTACAATTAAATCTGTGAAAAGGTTTGGGCGGAGGGTCGGAGGAAGGCAGCAAGAAAAGCGTGTGTTCTCCACCAAAAAAAGACGAGATCGTGGGCACATGTCTGTGGGCATATGTCCGTGGAACTCTTACAGCCGTTTGCTGAACTTTGCCTGCACCTCCTCCGAGACTCTCTTTCGGTCCCGTCCTTTGCGCAGCAGCTGCGAAAGACGCCGCTTCGGTGGCAGCGGCTGGGCTGCGCCAGACTCCTCCGTCCGCTCCTGTGACTGCCTCGCCTGCGCCCTTGCGATGAGGTGGTCCCACTTGCGGTACTTTGTGTAGTGTAGGCGCCGCTCGTACTCCTTCTCGACTGCCTCGTGCCGCTGCTGCTGCGCCAGTTCTGCCTCCTGCACAACGTCGTTGAGAGAGGTGGGCAGCAGCTGATGATCAACGGACCACTTCGCTTGGGCGGAGCGCGACGGCAACAGACGTACCTTCGCGTCACTCAGCTCCTGAAATCGGCCGATGTTTGGGTCGCCGAAGTGGCCGGTGGAGAGGTTGAACTCGTCCTCCTCCTCAAACAGCGCCCACGGTGGGAGCTCGTTGACAGCGGTGTCATCCCCCTCCGTCGTCGCCGCCTCTTCCTCTCCGCCGTCTGCGAGATCGGCAGGGATGAGGGAGGTTTGAATGCCTCCTGGTAAAGTTGCCCTTGTCGTTGATGGATCGTCTGCGGTGGAGGTGGCGCCCGCTGTCACGCCGAGGACCTGCATCTCCCCTTCGCCCGCCATCGGCAGCGGCGTGAAAGTTTTGGCGGAGGCCGCCAGCCCCGCCGCCTCCATGACGTGCCGCTCTCGCCGCAGCGAGTTCTCCATCTTGCGCTCGCGCCGAATCGCGTCGAGTCGCACGTGCTGGAGGTGGCGGTTGATCTCCTTGTTGTCCACCACCTGTAAGTTGTTCGTGCGCTGCGCAATGACACGGAAAGTCTCGAAGTTCTCCAGCGTCGTCCGCATACCTTCTTCTTCCTTCTGAAGCCGGATGGCGGGCGTTGGCGATGCCCTCTCCACCAGGCCATTTCCACTCTTCTCCACGGACGGCTGCAATGCGCCGGGGAAGTAGGTGAGCACGTGCCACTGCACGGCTTGCAGCAGCGACGCCGCGCCGTCGCTGCGACGCCACCGCAGCTGAAATTGGTAGGCGTAGCGCCGCAGCATTGACTCGGGCAACTCGTCGACATCATTCGTCTCCGCCTTCTGACGCAGCAGCACAAGCTCTGGCTCGCTGAGGCGCACCCGCTCAAGTCGCTCCGCGTTGCGCGGCGCCGGTGGCTCGGGACGGCGTCGCATCGGCTTACGCAGAATTCCCCACGGCGCGAACAGCACGTCGGGCCCGACAGCATCCTGCTCCGCACTGGTGAGTGTGCGGTCCTTTCCGGTACCCCCAGCCGTGTTCTTCCCTGCTGTTGCTGGTGCCGCCTGCTCTACTGCGCTGGGGCCCGACATGTTGAGCTGACGGAGGTCGGCCGCCAGAATTTGCTCCACGGAGCGAAAGTAGTGGGTTCGGCGGTCTAGCATGGCTCGAATCGCGTTGGCGCTCACCTTCTGCAGAACCCGATCGATCAGCTGAACTTTGGTGCCGTGACGCAGCTGGCGCTGAGCGGCGAGGTAGATGCGGAGTTCCTCCTCATCCAAGCGCTCAAGGGCAGCGCGCAGATCGGCTGCTGATTCGCCTTTTGCGAGACCCTGTGCGTGGCTGCGGTGTTCCTTGGCCCTTTGCGCCGCACTCCAGGCGTCTCCGGGGCTGCGGATGTGCATCGATGCCACCGATGGCGACGGCGACGCGGAGGGGGACTCCGCAGATTCCTCCCTCGCGCTTTCTGCGGACTTGGACGCATCGGCAGCTGTGGACGCCGCGGCAGCGGGGGCGTTGGAGCTTGTCGCGGGCAAGACGCCGCGCATGTACTCGTTGAACTTTGCGATGCACCGGCGGTCTTCCTCGCGCTGGCGCTCGCGCTCCGCCGCCGCCAGCGCTTCTGGAAAGACGTCCACGGCCTCTTCAATTTTTGTCTGAATTTGCTCTCGCAACGCCACCCGCTGCTTGTTAGTGGCATCGCGCAAGGCGACGTATGTCTCCGGCAGCGGTTGTACGTCCTGCTCGATCATGCGAGAGAAGAGCTTGTATGCCTGCCATTCCAAGCCTGCACGGCCCATCGTTGCGATAAGTGAGGTGTACATGAGCGCATCTGGCTCAATTCCACGACGGTGCATGATGTTCAGCTGCAGGAGAGCATCTCGGGCCACTGCGTACGCCTCACCCTGTGAGAAGTCTTGGGGGAGTTCTTGGAAAGGGCGCTCGTGGACGTGACGACGAGCTACTGTGAAGGCGCCATACCTGTTGATGGTGGTCTTGAGGAATTCCGCACACATGACAGCGCCGCCTCGGTGCGCACCGCACGCAGTCAACCGCGGCGAGAAGAGAAGCGGAGCGCGGTGCAAAACGCGTGTTGGAGAACGCATCCTTCGTGGGGTACTGAGAAGACGCAAAAAAGAGGGGAAAAAAGAGGATCGCAGAGAAGCAGAGATAGGCGTCGAGGATTGCTTCGAACAATACCTACCGTGTTAAGAAACGTGTGTGAAAGGGTCGATACAGTGGGTGAGACAAACGGATGTGCGCACGCATAACGAAGCGAGATGCAGGCAGGCAAAGACCGGAATTTGAAGAGGAGAAAGTGGAGACGCGTCATACTCGCTTTAACGGGTCGCACCGATACGGAATTACAAAGCCCGCAACGGATCGCGCAAAGTGGGAAAATGAGACGCAGCCAAACCCAAAAACAAAAACAAACAAACTCGGACGAATGTGGTGACACCACGCTCACGAAACCAAAAAAAGAATAGAGAAAGCAGCCGCACCTACGACGTCTCTTGAAGCGTTGTGTTGTTAGAGTTGAATGTCTTTTCTTTTTTTTTTTAAACAGTATCTGAGTAATATAGTGTATTGGATCCATTGTGGAGTTATCTGAGTGTGTGAAGTAATATATATACGCACAAGTCGAGTGTTCGTTGAAGACTAGGTATGTGTGTGTATAGTGAGGACTCTAAGCTGTAAATGGGGGGAGCGCAAAAACGCAGGCCGTTTATGTTGTTACCGAGTAAAAAATATATATATAGAACAAGCAATAATCACCATAAAAGCACAACAGCAGTTAGATCGCTCCTAAGAATTATTTACGCCGCGGAGAAAACTTCGATGCACATCTGCGCCACAATATAAACAAAAGAGAAAACACGCAGCTACATAGCGCAGCTCTATGAATGGCAGAATGCAAGGGAACAAAGAAATGGGAGACAATGAAAAAGGCACTCTCAACGCTGAAGCTTGAACTGACTGTTGCGAAGAGAATGCCTTTGTGCCTATTGATCACAGCACCTGACGCCCATCCGTTGCAGGTGTGTGCCGGAGAGAAAGAACGAAAGAGAGAGCAAAACTGCTACTCATTAGAAACTCAAATCTCAGCTTCAGAGAAAACGCCTGCACTGGGCCCAAGCATAAGTCCCGTTGCGAACACACAAAATATGTCCATGTAATAATACAGAGCAGGCGCGACATGTCCATCGCACGCCTTCTTAACTGAACGAGAAAAAAACAGACTAGTGATCAGCCCCACAAATGAAGAACAGACAAGGAAAAGGAAGTCCCTCTTACATAGTAAGTAATGATGTTGATGCGCAGCGCGAGGAAGTTGGATCGTATCTGCTACGACCCAGACCAAGCCATCTCGCATACCCAAACGAACGAGGGAAAACCACCGTCCAACGCCACGCGTGAGGCGTACAGTTTAGTGGCGCGCCACGGAAACACGCTGTTTTTGTGAGTGTCGCACCGCCGTGGCGACACGAGTGCGTTACGCGTTCTTCACCAAATGATGCCAGAGCACCGTGGCGGCGGGCACTCAAGAAAGATGCGGCGATGCCCGCTACCCCTGCGGTGCTGCTCTCTCGAATCCAAACTCGAACTTAAAGAAGTCCTCGTAAGGGATCATTAATGTACTCTAACTTCTTACTTTGTTTCAGGCGGTCCCAGCGATTTAGCAAAAAGTCCATGCGCTCACGCAACCCCATGTTGCGCACCGAGGGATGCGCTTTCAGAATTTCGTAGGCGAACGACGCCACCGGCACCTCTGTCGTCAAGTCCCGCCGCTGCATTCGCTCAGCCATCGCCAACACCTCTTTTTCACGTTCAGCGGACATGTAGTCCGGGCGCGCTGACGCGTAGCGCTTCGTTTCATCTACCTTAGCAGTGGATAATGGGGTAGAGGCGCTCGCCTGATCTGCTGCGGTCGGTGCGCCCTTTCTTCTGCCCGCACTGTTGTCCGATGCACTAGCTTTGTGTTTCACTGCTGCCGGTGACTTGCTACGTCGACTCAATTTCGTTCGAGTGGCGCTGATGCCCCGAGAAGCCCGACGCACCGGATTTGACGCGGTCCTCGATTGCACCGATCTCGCGCGTGTTGTTCGGCCAGACATCAAGACAGCCGCTGAGGAGCTGGCGGGGGCCACGGTTCTTCTGCGGATGACGCTGCCGCCCAAGCGTCCCCATGTTAAGCGAAACATCTGCTGGCAACTCAACCGCAACACCGTCTTTCCGCCTGCTGGTGTCTGTGCTATTGTGTGTGTGTGTGGGTGTGTGAGTGTTGGCCTGAATCAGTGAACTGAGCTCTGTATGTGTGAGAGCGTGTTGAGACCCGAGAGGAAGAACAGCTCACACTCTTTCAATCTTCCAGCTTCTATAATGGATGACGTATTATGATGTGTACTTGCAAGCGTGGGAAATGTGTTAGGAAATGGGAAGCGGAAAGAATGAAAATAGCTTCATACTGATCGCAAATACAATGAACCTTCTTCTTTGTTATAATTACTAACGAAGTAGACAATAGCGAAAGCACTGTTGCAAGTGTTCGAACACGCACATAAAAGCTTTGGTAGGCAAGTAGATCAGCAGCAATGCACATGCCTCACTACGCATGCTTAGCTTCAGGCGGTGAGTCGAGAAGATGCGAAACACCTCTTGTCATGCTGATCATAATAACATACTCGAAACCAAGCCCTTTTTTCTCACCGTTTCTTGTCCTCTGAAAAAGAGGGCGAAAGGAGGTCGGAAGACGGTGTACCTGCTGTTCCGCATCGAAGCGGAAAGTGAACCCATGCCGGCTAACTGTCATCATCGGAAGAAGACGCGCAGAAAGCATCGGGAAGAGGCGGCAGTTTGTCGTACATCAACTCTGGCGATTCATCGCGCACCACGGAAGTTGAAGGCGTGGCTGATTCTGCCTGTGTTTCGGAAGAAAAAGGAGAGGCGGTGTGTGATGGGTCTTCCTTCACGGCTCTATCATCGACCTTGGGACACGAGGCTGCCGAAGGTACTGGCTGACCTTCACCCCCTGCCGGTAGAGGCGTCGATGACGCTGCATCTTCTGGCGGTGACCGGGCAGCTTGTGCAGGCTGCACAGGAGTGGTACTACTGTTGAGATTTTCTTCGGCCACAGAAAGCACAACTGGCTTGACAATAGGGTTGGGCAGCTGTCGCACGTTCACGGTGTGATCCATGAGTGTCACTAACGTGCCGGGCTGCAGCTCTGCTACTGGAGAGCGAAACCGTACCTGGGCAGTTCCGTTTGGCTTGCCTCTCAGGCAATTGATCTTCACGTGCGTCACCCGCCCATAAGAGCTGAAGAGAGACCGTACGTCCGCATCGTTTGCTATTGTGGGGAGCCCTGTGACGAAGATGGTTGTGCAGGCATTTAAAAGAGGCGATGAAGAAGCCATTGTGTGTCACTGCCGCTTTCTATGTACTTTTTAATGATATTACCCATATGAGAGTAAAGAGTTACTCTCGTGCACGCTAAAAGTAAAAGTTAAAAAAAAAGGAAGCGCAGCAAAGAGAAGGCACAACAAACTACTATCGCGGTCGGGGTAGACAGATGTGAAGGAGAAAAGTGTCTTTTCAGGTTTAACTCTCGTCTAACGGGCAGCAGCCTACAAATGAAACTGCGATATCCGCTGCGTTGTAGTCGATCACAAACATAATATATTCACGCTATTGCGTACATCACTCTGGCGTTTTGCACCAAGAGGCACAACAAAAGGTCAGAGTAACGTAGTGTGTCTCACATCCGTCCGCACGCACCCCGCAGTTGACGGCCAGCAACAGCATGAAGAAGAAAAGAAATGCTCTCAGCGTCTGATCCAGCGTTAGCAACGGTGAAAACCCTTCTCCGCTCTAGTTGCCGCAAAGAACAAAGCTACTTGAGAAGCCTTCTATGGGTTTTTTCCGGTTGTTTTCGTTTTTAGTTACAACTAGACAAACTTCGCCACATGTGTTTAGCATCAGAGTTTAACAACAAACAAACATCTTAAATAATCACTGCAGGAACTGGAAGAGTAGAACGAGCCGTCGAAGGCCTTCTCATTGCGTCTTTTTCCATTTATGCCGCTCAGGCTGCTTACAAAAACCACTCAGTGCTGAAAAAAGGAAAGGCACTTCGCCGAGAGAACGGTTCTCTGCTGCGATAAATTCCTTTATTCAGTCCAAAAATGAAGCGGTGGGACGCCAAAGGTTGCCGTGACAGACATCGACGTGCCCTCTTCTCATTTCTTCGTATATGACATCTTGAACAATTACACTTTTCCTTTGTATCACCCGCGAAATGCGCCATTAAATGAACCAATAAAGCCAGTCAACAGCTTCATCGCCACGTCGGAGAGATGCGAAAAAACAGAGAGATGCAAATGCTCGACTGCGTTTACAACAACGGCACAATCACAGCAAGCACCACCTTACTGCTCCGGTGCAGCCTCCGGGTCCTCGTCTTGCTGCTGCTGCGGCTTCGCGGCCGGCTTATCATCACGCAGCTTCGTGCAAGACACGACGTCGTCCACGCGCAGGATCATGGAAGCGGCCTCGATGGCTGTTTTCAGCGCCTGGATCTTCACGGCAGCCGGCTCGATGATCTTGATGGTGCGCACGTCCACAATCTCTCCCGTTTGTCCGTTGATGCCCCAGTACCACCCTTCCGGATCGGCGTGACGCGCGCGCAGGTCGGTCACCACCCGAATCACGTTGGCGCCGCAGTTGCTGGTCAAGATGCGGGGCACCACCTCCAACGCCATCGCCACCGCCTGGTAGGCCGCCTGCTCCACTCCTCCGATTGTCTTGGCCTTCGCCATGAGCTTCGAGGAGACCGACATCTCACACGACGCCGCGCCGCAGATGATGCGGGGCTCGAGGATGATGTTGCGCGCTACGCACATGGCGTCGTGCAGGTTGCGCTCCATCTCATTCAACGTGTCCTTGCTTGCACCGCGAAGAAGGATGCTGCAAGCCGAGCCGGCTGGGCAGCCGGTGATGAAGGTGAAGTACTCGTCGCCAATCTTCTTGATTTCGAAGAGGCCGGCCTTGCCGAGGTGCTCCTCCGTCAGCTCCTCCACGCGGCTAACGATGGTGGCGCCAGTGGCACGCGCAACGCGGTTGTTGTCTGTCTTGCGGAGACGGCGGATGCAGGTAATGCCTGCCTTGTACAGGAAATGCGCCGCTAGATCGGACGCGCCCTTCTCTGTGATCACTACGTCCGGCTTGAAGGAGATGATGACGTTGCAGATGGTGCGCACGTAGTCCTCCTCCTGCTTCAGCAGCGCTTCCCAGTCGGTGTCCTTGGTCACCTCGACGTTAATCGCCGTCTCGGGCTTCTTGTACTCTAAGGGGCAGTCCAGGAGAAGGATACGCGGGTTTTCGATGACGCGGCGCATCTTGGAGTGGATGTGGTCCTTGTTGAACATGACGCCGTCCAGTACGACGCTGTCGGTGATGGAGCCGCCGGGGATCTTCTCCACCTTGGCGTAGCGCTTGATGTCGATGTCCTTCACCCCCGTCACAGGGTTCACCTGCACCACGCGCAGGGTGGCCTCAACGGCCATGCGGCACATCAGCTCCTCCTCGCGCGAGTTGAACTTGGTGCCCAAGCAGGCGCGCACCACCTCCTCCAGCTGCTCCTTGTTTTCGGGGTCAATAGAGGTGGCGATGCTTTCCACGGCAGCGAGGGCGTCGGTGAGCGCCTGCGTAAAGCCCTTGACGATCTTCAGCGGGTGAATGTTGCGTTCCAGCAGCGGCTGCGCGAGGCTCAGAATTTCACCGGTCAGGATGATGACGGAGGTGGTGCCGTCACCGACCTCCTCGTCCTGCGCACGGGCAAGCTCCAGCATGTGCTTCGCAGCCGGGTGCACTACGTCAATCTCGCGCAGAATGCAGTTGCCGTCATTCGTCAGCACCGTGCCGCCCATGGGATCGATGATCATCTTCAGCATCGCGCACGGACCCAGTGTGCTGCTGATCAGGCTAGCGACCGTCTTGGCGGCCTCGATGTTGTTCATCTGAGCCTTGCGGCCCGACTCGCGCTGCACGCGCTGGTTCACCACAATCACTGGTTGTTGACTCATCTTCACAGTGTCGACGAAGGTGATGTGCACACAGTAGTTGGCAAAAGAGTGTTTTAAAAGCGAACGCCTCGAACCGTTAAAAACGGAGGGGGGAGCCTCGTGAGCCTAAAGAAGGAGACGCCGGAAGGAAGGAGAACCGTTGAGCAACTCCAAAGTGAGAGACAACGCAGGACCTTGGTGATTACGTGTATGTGAAAGGAAAATAGAAATCTAGTAAATAAACTTCTGTTCATACTTTTCGAGATTCAGGTGATCGTCAGATCAAAGAAGAGAAAGATAGAAAGTGAGTAGCAAGGATGCGACTTAAGAAGAACAGCGAGTTCAGCTGTCGTCATTAGAAGGCTCGAAAGCCACCAGGGTTATGAAGTCAATAAGTTCGCTACAAGAAAGCAGACGAAATCGAAGTCTTGCACCATCTGCAGTTTTGCCAACACAGAGGAACAAAGGCACAAACAGAAAGCCGCACGTTTAGCGAATGGGCCTTCCTGTTACAGACAACGCGGTGTTCGGCAATAATACTAAAGCCTCGGCAGCGGCAGGAAGGACCGTTTGTTCTGCCCGCCAGTCAAGCTTTTTGCTCGGTATCCAAATCCTAAGATTTTGATGATTCCTTGTTGGTGTTGTTGCATACATCGATAGATGCATGGGTGAGGGGGGTAAACGTAAGTGCGCGCAATAACGCATCTATTGCATAAGAGAGCAGCCGCCTTTGATTAAGCGAACCAAACTTTTTTTAAAGTAAGCTAAAATGATGAGTGAAAAGAGATAAGAAGACAATACGACAGAAAATGTGAAAGAGTAAGTGTGAAATGGCAGCTTCGGCGGTGCTGCGTCGAGGCACACAAGACCAAAACATGAACTAAACAGACTGCGACAGCTAAATGTGCACCGTTCTACGACGATAGAAGACGGAGGCGGGGAGTCCGAGCATTTCGTGAGCCGCGTTTGCCATCACGGAGCCAACGCTTTCCACGTCCAGTTTGAGGTCCGCTACCGGGTCTGCCCGCGTCTTCCCGGCGTTCACGACTGCCACGGGAACATTAAGGCGCTTTGCCTCCACCACGTAGCGGTAGGCACTGTAGACCTGCAGGGACGTCCCGAGACACAGCAAGCACGACGCCTTCGTCTGCATCACCTGCATCGTCACCTCGACCGTCGGCTTCGGGACGTTCTCGCCAAACAGGACGACGTGCGGCTTGAAGAAGCCACCGCAGTGCGGGCACATTACCAACCGCATCGCGTTCACCGCCTGCGTAGGGGCGCTGTAGTCTCCGTCCGGCCGTACACGCGACTTGTCGGCGCCGTACATCTCGTACAGGCTTGGGTTCGCCTCACGTAGCTGCCGCTGCAGCTGTGCGCGCGGCATAATAAAGCCGCAGGACATGCAAATGACGGTGTGGATGTTCCCGTGTATTTCCGTCAGCGGGGCGTTGCTGGTGGTGTACCTGTACGCATGTGCCTCATCCGCATCGCCCACACCACCATACGTCGCAAGGTGGTGAAGGCCGTCGACGTTTTGCGTGAGAATGTGAGCCACTGCACCCGCGTTGACAAACGCTTGGAGCGCCATATGTGTCGCGTTGCAGGACGCCGCAGACATGGTGGAGTATCCAAGCATGCTGCGAGCCCAATAACGACGCTTTTCGTTATCGTCACGCTTAAAATTCTGAAACGTCAGAGGTACGAAGTCAGCGCGGTGGTAGCGGCCGTGAGGGCCACGGTAGTCTGGGATGCCACTCTCCGTGCTGCAGCCAGCACCGGTGAGGACGACGCAGCTTCGCTCTGCCTTGCCTGCGCTGCTTCGCTGCAGGAAGTTCGCCAGAGTCTGAGCGGATTTCATTATTTATTCCGCAGTGGAGGTGAAATCAGAGCAGCTTGAAAGAGAGAGAGAAAGACATACTAGGAAAACAAAGATGTTAAAAAGCGGGAAAGAGCAGACGGAGATGTGGTTGGTGCGGCGTACGTGTAGGGGGAGCGTTCTAAGGTCTAAAGAAGAATGTTGTCATCAATCGTATCGTGTAACGTAGCACCAAATACCACGATTGATGCGTGCAAAATCAGCAGCGCACGTACGAAAGCGGCGTACGTCACGGCGAAAAACAGAAAACTGTGTGTGTGAGAAGAAAAGAGAAGCACGAGAAAGGCACTAGCAGTGAATCGCTGGTGAGATCGCTCAGCTGGAAAAAGCTCTCTCCTCACTTTCACAATACTGCGCAGACAACTAAACGCGGCTTGCAATGAGAGCGCCGCGTGGTGGGGGGCAAAGAAGAGAAGGAAAAAAAAAAGATAGCAGCAACGCGTCCGAGCAAAAACAAGATGGATATTCGAGGGAGAGTAGAGTAAAAATTGGAGGAGGAGAAGCAGACAGACATACATGGTGAGCGACGTTTGCCTCAAGCCTGAGGCGTAGTGCATGAGTACTGAGGCTCCGCGTAGCCGTGCCGCACAGGTGAGTAGCGTGTCTAAAGCCCCGGCTGCGCTTGTGATTCACGCAGCAGCGTTGTTCTCGCGCCGGCTCTAGACGATGGGAACAGTAAGGGAAATATCCGGTAAGGTTCTACTTCCGCTTTCTGCGTTTATTAAAAGACCATCAATGGCATCTGTGACAGACAGAAAAAAACGCAATTTATTGTTTACCCCTTCGGGTCGTCGTCCCAGTCAAACGGAAGTGGCTTACTATTGTTGCGGACGGCAGCCCAATCCTTGCGGTCTCTGTTCTCAAAGGTAAAGTTGTTGGCTGGGAAGCCATAGGTCTGCCCTGCGTAGAGCCCACCCATCCAGCGCACCGCACTCTCCCTCACCGCCTCCTCCGTGAGAGAGCGGCTGTTCTTGAGAATGTACGACGACTGCTTCGTCCGTGTGGCAACCCACATCTTCGTATGGCGCGAGTGCCCATGCTCTTGCACGTCCTCGATAGAGACCCTTTCCGAGTAGCTCAGCAGTGCATGTGGGTGCTGTTCAATCGTACTCGCGATCACTTTTTCCTCCCATGGCAGTCGCGAGAACACAACTAGTCGGCCATCGCTGCGCAGGAGCAACAAGGCGTTTTGCAGCGCCTCACTCAACTCGTAGCGTTCGTGATTCACGATGCACCGCAGAGAGGTCAGAAACTTCCACGACATCGGCGCCTTCCGCCGACTGTCCTGCGCCATCCATCCTTCCTCCGGCAGGTCATTTCCAGCCTCCTCCACAACCTCGAGAACTCTGCGGGATGCCCCAAAAGGCCGCCCTTTGCGTATCGCACGCGCCAGCTTTGTGGATTGCTCGGGCGTCAGCAGCTCGTACGACGCCAGGGACCTGGACAACGAATTCTGTGGAACTGTGTTGAGGTATTCCAAAGCACTCAGGCCGTGACTTGGCCCGTAGCGCATGTCAAGGCAGTGATCGCTCTCGTCATCGAGCAGAAACCCACGTTCTGGGTTCTCGAGCTGGGTGAGGGAGGGACCGGGGTCGATGACGACGGCGTCGAAGGAACGTTCGCCAAACAGCGCCTTTGCCTCCGACATGGGTCGGGCGTAGAAGCGAAACCGGTGCGACCCGAACTCCTCTGCCACCTCCCGTGCGCCGGTCGCGGCGTCCAAATCGCAATCCATCGCGACAACGCGCGTGTACGGCTTCCCGTTCTCCAGCACGACCCCGGAGTGAAATCCGGTGCCGAACGTGCAATCCAGGACATCATACGATATGAGGCGTTTCTGCTTCGTCACCGCAACCAGCTCCCCCAACGAAGAAGGAACCGTCATCGCAGTAGAGGAACATACTAGGGCACCAGGATCCGGCAAGGAATGCGTTGATGACGAAGCCGGGAGTACTTTTTCTGCCCAGTTTGAGGCCGGAGCGGCCTCACTGGATGAGGATCTGGATAATTTCGTCGGAAATTTGTTTTTCCTCACCATCTGGGGCCGCAGATGTTCAGGTGAACGAGCACCGAGTGCTCTCCGCTGCTTCTTTGTGCTAGGGAATCCATCCTCCACGGCGCGCTTCGCCACGTACTCCGCGAGATTCTTCATCTCAAGCCATCTCAATCCCCCACACACACCCTGGAGCAGCTGTTTCGGCATGAGACGAGGATGCTCTACGCGGTTCATCGCCGCCCACCGCTTGGGTGCGACGATTCGTTTCATGTACCCTCTCAATTAAAAATATTTAAAGAAGAAACAACACTTCAGCGAGAGAGTAGCCGGCTAATACACAGACAAGGGAGCCAGTTCAATTCAGCACGCTCATTGTGACAGTCAACACGCGACGCTGATGTCAAGCTCGCGCATTTCGTGCAGTAACTTTGTAGAAAGAATACACACAAGAGCCAACAAGAGAACGAAAGTGAAGTGAGAAGGTACATTGCATTCTGTGGTATCGTTAACGACCACTATCCGGCGACGCTGGTGGGGCACAGAGAGAACGCAGCGTACTGCGCAAACCTTACAGACATGTTACAGTTTTGCACGATACTGCAAGACTTCATTAAGCGTTGAGCTGCCACACACGCACACACACGCACTCACAATGCAGCGAAGCTTACATCTCCCTTCACACATTTTCTTTATAGGTCGTTCACAGTCACGAAAGCATATCGTGGCGAGTATTACGGCTGTTTTGTTGGTCTTTAACGCAGAAAGTTATACTGGAAAAAGAAACAGAGTTTATACACCTGCATCAAAGAGCTACAAGAAGAAAAAAGAGGGAAAACGTTGCTTGAAACTCTGTAGATGTCATTTGTCGTAGCCTAGACGAAGCATGTTTCATTGTTTCGTGAAAGATTACTTTCAAAACGTGCTGCTAATACGCGTATTATATCAATAAAGGTCGTCCCTTTCAACAAGCACCACCTTTCAAGACTTGAAAACACTACAAGAGGGAGGGTCGAGAAGAACTAAGAGGAACCTCATGAAAAGTTCAGCTTTTCAATGCACTTTCTAGTTAATACCTCCTTAGGAAAATATTTCCAGGAGAAGCTCATTTATTCCACATAGTTATGAATAATATGCATTTTCCGCTTTCTATGTATCACCTGAGTTAGACAGAGAAAACATAAAAAGTTAAAGAATCGACAGAGAAAAACTCAGCGGCGGCACCAAAGCTCCGTCTTTCTACCGTGTACCGAACTCACTGTGTGCGTGCGCTTCCTGCTGCCAACGGAACGCACCCGTTTCTCTCTAAGCAAGCGTTTCAGATTATTTGAAAGAAATTTAAAAATGGACAAAAAAAGTTCGTTTTTTTTTTTGCAGCTGTTGCTGTTTTGAGCTTCACAAACCAAAGCGAATGTAAAACATTTTGGGAAAAGAAGGGCATACCTCGCAGCCGCAATCTTGAAAGCCAAAAAAAAAAGGATTTAAAAAGAAAATATTTTGGTGTTTCCTTGCCACGATTGACTCTCCACCACGGAGCCAGCCGTGCCGAAACTCACGTGGACGACGACGACAGCCGCTGCCTTAGGCATGCTCTACCTGCGCGTACCGAGGACGCCGGCTGCACAGGCACACAGCGCTCGTGATGAACGCAGCCACCAGGACCCCCACACACAAAGACCCAAGCGCGACAGCCGCAACAGAAGCGCTCGTCATTCCGGAGGTCTGCAGCAACGTCGTCTCATCGTCGTCCTCGTCGTCCTCGTCGGCGAAGCGGGCCGCCAACTCACCGGTCCCTGGGGCCTGTGCGCTGCACGACGACGACACACACACGCACTGCTGCGAGACGCTGTTCAGCAAATACCCCTCCTCGCACGAGTACGCAGGGCAGCGATTGCGGTAGTACTGGCACGCGGAGGACAGCGGCTGGTACGCATCTCCGGCGTGGATCCCACCCTTGGGGCAGGCCATCAGCTCCTGGTACTTCTCGTCCAGGTAGCAGTACCCCTTCGACGTCGCCGGCGCAGCGCTCCACTGCACAAACCTCGCAAAGTCGGCAACAGGGCACGTGTTGTCCTTCGCGGGGTACGCAGTCTGCCACGCGTCCATGCACGTCAGACTCCAGTCCTTCTCCCAGTCGAACTTAAATTCCGTGTCGGGCGACTGCCCGGGGTGGCCGCGCAGCACGCGCACGTAGAATGTCTTGTCCGTCTCATTCTCCAGCAGCTCCAGCACCAGAACCTGCGAGAAGGGCGGCAGCAGTCCATCATCGGCTTTGTCCTGCAGCGAGCACGCAATGCGTGAAAGAGTGGTGTCATGCGCGCTGTAGTGGAACAGTTTATACGTTGTCGTGCCTGCCAGCTTCGCGGTGATGGCGGTGTTGATGTTGGTGACGAACTCCTGCAAGATGGGCTGACCAGCACTGCCTTGCATCAGGCACCGCGTGTTGGTGCGATCGTACTCGTACTCCTTTTCAAAAAGAACTCTCGCGGACTCGGCTAGAGCATTCTTGTACTTTTTCAGTAGGGGCTGTTTTGCAGCGTCAAGAGTGCCAACTGAATCCATGGCGGCAGCGATATCGAAAAGCTTTCGTGCACAGTCCGAGCGTGTCTCGAAGGTGCTGCAATACCCTTCACTGTAAACCTCTTTGCCAATATCAGTGAGCGTTTTGAAGTCGGGGAAGTTCTTGTCCGTGGTAGGATTGCATACGCTGCGCACACTGGGCTTATCGATGTTGTAGAAGAATTGGTATTGCGGGGCGTAGTTGGTGTAGAGCAGGTAGTCGTCGTTCTCGGGCATGGTGTGGATTGCAGGGTAGAGCGACGTCAGGTTGGGAAAGAATCCACGTAGGAACGACTCTGCGCTCTGCAAGGTGCGCAGTACGTCCGTTGATCGGCTGTAGGCAACGTCCAGATCATAATCCAGGGAAGGGAACATTGGCTCTGTCACCACAGTTGGGTCAGTGTTGTACCGGTTGCGCAGGAAGGCGCCAGTGTTATTGAGCATCTTAATGCCTGCCCAGGAGAGGTAACCGCACGGTGTGTCACCACAGATCTGTGTCATGTTGAAAGTCGTCTCTGCTGCGCGCGCACCGTGCCGATGGAGCAGCTGAACCATGACGAGCTTTAAATCTGGAGCTCCAAGTACCACGGCGGGGAGGCACAGCAGCAGCACAGCCTGCAAAAAAACGTAAACGGATCTCATGGTGAAGGTGACGAGGAAAGAATTGAAAAAGGCTACCAGGTCTTAAACAGAGAAAACGAAAAGGACAAAACACGTAGCTGAGCACGGAAGCGGAAAGCGTGTTGAGTTGCTAGATTGAGAGACAGAGTGAAGGAGAAGAGATGCGGAGAAGAAAAAAAGAGGAGTGAAAAAGTATATACATGTTTTGACAAAGCCCTCTTTACCATGTCTTCTTCCATTCCCCACACAACACGACGTTAAACATGCGTAACTAACGTCTTGCTGTGGACCTTTGCTACACCAGAATAGTTCTTGTAGAGGTAGGCGGGGAAAGCCTTACATCTTGAACTTCAAAACGAAGCCATCAATTAGAGCACACGATCAAGTTTTGAGCCAAGTTTCCGCCAACGTGCCCGATTCGCCAAAACCATATTTTCGCGTTGAGCATCCCAATCCGAAAAGCTTCTTAAAACCACGGTTTCAGTCAACCTGTGCATCTGTGATAGTTGCGAATTTTGCTGCTCTTTATCACTGTTATATCCACTACTATATGAACACGCTATGTACACCAAAGCGGAGAGATCTTCCCCAATTTACTTTACGCAAAACAAAACCAAAAGTTTTTCACAGTAGCCGTCAACTTAACCAGTCACGATTTATCCTCCCAAAAAAATCGTCAACCAAAAAAGAACTGTCTTTCTTTGAACACATGAACACGTATCGTCAGAGCTTGCTTGTGCAATTCTAGTAGGTGCATCCACCCCTCGTAAGATGAGAAGCGGATGTCTCGGTTGTTACTCTCACCCAGCACCAAACTAGCCAAATACGAATGAGTAATAAAAAAATACTACTAATACCTTCCTCGTTATGAAACCAAAAATCCGAAAGCCGCGAGAGCATACACACTTTGCGGGTTGCCCATCCAACTGAATTTGCTAGCTGGTGCGGTTAAGGAAAAAAGCCCACATTTTTACACTTCCCGTACCCCACACATTTAGTACCGTTTGCGGGAAGGTTGTGGAAAATAACATGAGGAGAAAGAGAAGATGAAAAACTCTAGTCGACTACTCTCTGATCAGGAAGAAAGAAGAAAGCACGAAGAAGATCAGTAAAGTGCAAAACAGTGTCGTTACATCCCTGTATCGATTTCATTTTCCTTTAAGGGTAGACGGCGTTATTTTCTTTTTATATTTATTTTTGAACCAATTAGAACTTTACGAAAGGGAGTTTCTTGCAGACTCAGATCGTCTGCATTTCCACCTTGTGGGGTTGGAAAAGGGGCGGGACGGCGGGGAAACAGAAAACAGCCTTTCCTGGAGAGAGGTCGACTGGAGGGGAGAGAAGAGAAAGGGATAGTAGTACAACATTAAGCTTTCGATTCATCTCCCGGCGTTTTTTTTTCAGGCGCAAGATTTCAGAAAAGAAAATATTTTGGTGTTTCCTTGCCACGATTGACTCTCCACCACGGAGCCAGCCGTGCCGAAACTCACGTGGACGACGACGACAGCCGCTGCCTTAGGCATGCTCTACCTGCGCGTACCGAGGACGCCGGCTGCACAGGCACACAGCGCTCGTGATGAACGCAGCCACCAGGACCCCCACACACAAAGACCCAAGCGCGACAGCCGCAACAGAAGCGCTCGTCATTCCGGAGGTCTGCAGCAACGTCGTCTCATCGTCGTCCTCGTCGTCCTCGTCGGCGAAGCGGGCCGCCAACTCACCGGTCCCTGGGGCCTGTGCGCTGCACGACGACGACACACACACGCACTGCTGCGAGACGCTGTTCAGCAAATACCCCTCCTCGCACGAGTACGCAGGGCAGCGATTGCGGTAGTACTGGCACGCGGAGGACAGCGGCTGGTACGCATCTCCGGCGTGGATCCCACCCTTGGGGCAGGCCATCAGCTCCTGGTACTTCTCGTCCAGGTAGCAGTACCCCTTCGACGTCGCCGGCGCAGCGCTCCACTGCACAAACCTCGCAAAGTCGGCAACAGGGCACGTGTTGTCCTTCGCGGGGTACGCAGTCTGCCACGCGTCCATGCACGTCAGACTCCAGTCCTTCTCCCAGTCGAACTTAAATTCCGTGTCGGGCGACTGCCCGGGGTGGCCGCGCAGCACGCGCACGTAGAATGTCTTGTCCGTCTCATTCTCCAGCAGCTCCAGCACCAGAACCTGCGAGAAGGGCGGCAGCAGTCCATCATCGGCTTTGTCCTGCAGCGAGCACGCAATGCGTGAAAGAGTGGTGTCATGCGCGCTGTAGTGGAACAGTTTATACGTTGTCGTGCCTGCCAGCTTCGCGGTGATGGCGGTGTTGATGTTGGTGACGAACTCCTGCAAGATGGGCTGACCAGCACTGCCTTGCATCAGGCACCGCGTGTTGGTGCGATTATACGCGTACTGGCGGCTGTAGTGTGTGCGCGCAATATCGGCCAGCCCGTCTCGGTTGGCCTTCAGAAGAGGATAGTTGTCCATCTCTCCGAGTGCCTCCATTTGCATGGCGATGTCGAACAATGAAAAAGCGCAGTTGCAGCGCGCCTCGAACGTGTTGCAATACCCTTCACTGTAAACCTCTTTGCCAATATCAGTGAGCGTTTTGAAGTCGGGGAAGTTCTTGTCCGTGGCAGGATTACACACCGCCAAAAGACCCTTGTAGTCGAGATTGTAATAGAATTTGTATTGCGGGGCGTAGTTGGTGTAGAGCAGGTAGTCGTCGTTCTCGGGCATGGTGTGGATTGCAGGGTAGAGCGACGTCAGGTTGGGAAAGAATCCACGTAGGAACGACTCTGCGCTCTGCAAGGTGCGCAGTACGTCCGTTGATCGGCTGTAGGCAACGTCCAGATCATAATCCAGGGAAGGGAACATTGGCTCTGTCACCACAGTTGGGTCAGTGTTGTACCGGTTGCGCAGGAAACTAGCGGTATTGTTAAGCATTTTAAAACCAGGCCATGTCATATAACCGCACGGTGTGTCGCCGCAGATCTGCGTCTTGTTGTACGATGCCTCTGCTGTGCGCGCACCGTGCCGATGGAGCAACTGAACCATGACGAGCTTTAAATCTGGAGCTCCAAGTACCACGGCGGGGAGGCACAGCAGCAGCACAGCCTGCACAAAAACGAAGAGAGATTTCATTGCAAAGGAAAAGAAAACCGCTGGTGGAAAAAGAAAACTGGAACGGTGTTTAAAGATGGAAGCGTCTGGATGCGTAAGCTTCATAACATTTACGCAGAGGGCGAAAGAGGTGGAGAAGACAAAGAGAAAACTTGCTGAAAAATGCACAGAAAAAGGAGAGAGCCAACTGCAAAACTGGTGGAATTGTCGACTAGCACCTAGTGGTCGCCGTGAGAAATTCTGAATCAAACAAAGGATGTTATTCTGGATATTCCAAGTGTTGCCAGCTTTTTTTCTTTTTGAAAAGCATGCCCATCGCAACAGTATTCAACTCTTTTTGCGTCATTATTTTGCGTACATTGAAGATGAGCCTTGCATACAACAGTTTAATGCGAACTCGAATGTGTACAGAGAGCTGTGCCGACCAGTACCAAGAGACAGCCAGCAGCAGTGCGCGGGCGCAGAGGGCCTTCGCGCAACACGAAAACACTCATGAGGACGGTTATCACAAAAGCCAGCGAGTTCACTACTATGGAACCTACAGAGACGTCTACCTCGCGAAGTGAACAGAAAAACGCTACGGACCCGCTTAGATTGACAGCTTGCGTCACCAAATACTTAGGACGGCGAAGAAAGAAGACAAGGTCATCTCTCGCAGATCCGCTACTCGTCATGCCTTTGCTGTAGTGTTTTAGGAGAGGATTCGTCACACCCCAAAGAAGTGCAGCCAACAGCATTAAAACGATCATTGTGTTTGCGGAAGCGAGGAGCTATATGTGTGTAGATAGAACAGTGTAGTCAGTAATCATTGAGCGATGTGCATGTAGCGTTTTTCACTCAAAAAAGGCCGCGGTTACAGAAGCGGAAAAAGCGACAGCGAAAGAAAAATAGCGCAGAAGAGGGCAGAACAACAACGATTTGAGTGTAAGTAGGAAAGCAGTTTCTATTATTTTGTAGAAACTAAAGAAATAAAATAAGTCATTAAAAAAAAAAGATCAACCAGTTTTCTCGAATCCCGCAATTCTCATTCGACTTGTGTAGTAGTTGGTCTGTTCAAAGATGCAGAGTAATTTTCCCGCGTTTCCAAATCACTACAAACATGTGTATTTGCTTCTTTGGTTTATTACCTCCATCACTTGTGACGCGTTGCGTATCTATTTTTAAGAAGATTTGATGTGATAAGAACTACAAAAATGACAACTACGTTCCTAGCGTTTCGCAAATCTCCTCTTGTTCTTCTTTCCATCCACGAAACCGGGGAACTGGCCTGGCTCCCGACGACGATCAACGGACAACAAACCTGACTTCTTTAACGGAATGCGTGTGAGTGGGAGCAGCTTGGTAATAGCATTCGCCACAGACATTCGGCACGCAAATGCAGCAATCTCGTGCGCAACAGAAGGCATCGCTTTTCCTTCAGAAACAATGTTCACATCAAAGTCGCGATAATCCAGTTTTGCCTCATCAAAAGGCATCAAAACCATCTCCATCAACCAAGACTTGTCGTCAAATGCAACGGAGAGAGGTTTGCCAAGCAAGGTAACAGAACCGTTATGATCGCGGTTTTCGCGGATCAATGCCGTGAACACGTACTTCTCCCCATCCGCACGCCCGTGTCCGACCGCAATCCCGGTTTCAGTGTCAACTTCAGCTGGGTCAAGACGAACACCGATTTGGTGTCGCGTATCTTCGCCCGCAACCTTGCGCGAGAAGTCCTGCAGAACTGTGTGGAAGTGGCTGTAGCTGTCTGCGCTGTCTGACTCGAGAGCAGCCTTACTCATAAGGTTATAATTCTCGAACATCACTCTAACATCCTCTTTGTTGAACTTTCGCCGGCTGAATTCGAACAGCGCGTGTTCAGTTTTGAATGCCTTCGTCTCCGTCATCCGCCCCATCCATTCGAGGAAGTTAGTGTAGTGCCCCGGGGCGTTGTCAAGCCCAACTGCGTCTGCGGTAATGGTGCGGCTCAGCTGACGCGAGGGCGAGTCCGCTGGCTTGCTTAACGACTCCAGAACTTTGGTGACCAGCGCTTGCGCTTCGTACTTGCGGAGATCCGGCAGCAGCGCTGATACGATCTCGCCCAGTTGCTCTTCATCGAGACCATCGACTGAAGAGTAATAATCCTCCACCGATTTGAAATACATGCCGCCGCTAACGCGCATCCATGCTTCTTTGAGAGATTGCGCGGATAGATCGTTGCGGAGCTCATCGCGCAAGGACGACAGCGTATTGTGGCCGGCAGGAACGTATTCACCCGGATACATAGGATACTCACGAAAGTGGAACAAGTTGCCGTGAGTGGCCTGATTGTTAGTCACAACAGCGTTGTCCCCGACCTCTAACGGCATCATACGCTCGCGCAGAGTTTCTTCCTCCCGAGACAACTCCATGTCTTGCATTCGCTTCACATGTGCATTGACCCAAGCCAATTTTTCGCCATCGCTTTGTGGAACTCCATTCTGAGTCCCTAGGCTGTTTGCAAGCCGAAAGAGCCTAGCATGCCGAGCTGTTTTGGGACTTAAAAGTCGTTTCATGGCGACTACCCTTGTTGCTGCTGCTTTTTAAGCTACAAGAGCGATTTGTAAAATCGCAAAATCGTTAATTATTAATAAAATAAACGCCGCATCATGATTGAAAATATAATTTCAGCATTTACCAAATCATAAAGCAATGGAAGGAGAAAAGAAGGGAGAGAAAATAGCGCGCTTCAGAAGTCTGAACCATCAATATCACATATTTTCTAGATCCTTGAATACGCAAACAAATATCAGACAAATCGTTGCCTGGTTTTTTTGTTCTGCTCTTACATATGTGAAATTCTCATTTGACACCAAATTGAAAAGCGATCTCGCTTCGCTGACCGTAGCATCAAACATGAACTCGAAAATTCTATCAGCTTAGCCTGTGCTTTCAAATCACCCATCTAATCACAGCATAAATAAATAGACAGCGAGAGAAAACCAACAAAAGAAAACGATATATGTTAATGTATTCCGCGGTTGGAAACAGATGCACTGTTCATATGCCCACGAAAATGAAACAGAGATACTAAAGATCTTGAATTTCTTCAAGAACCCCAAGCATTTCCGCTTCTTTTTCTGCCAACGCCTTCCGCAGAGCCGCAATCTCCTCGTGAAACTTGCACAGTTTCCGCACCATCTCCTTCATTCGTGTTTCTTTGTGTACAATTTCCCGTTGAGTCATGTCGCTCAGCGGGTCCACATATCTTGGTGCTCCGACTTCGTCATACTGCATCGTATCATCACCAACCTCCGACGAAGAGCTTTCAAAAGTGTTCTTCTTCTGTTGGGCAGCGGTGAAGGCTTCATTCTTGCGATGTACAGGAACAACAGTGTGTTTATCTCCCATACTTTTTGTCGGCAGAAGCGGTGCAGCTTTCTTGACGTACTCGCATGGTTGAGGAGATTTACCGTCGAACAGAGCCCCCAGATTGTATTCTCGAGGAGCTGCATCTTCTCCGTTAAAAAACTCTTCGGACGTCATCGCGGGTTGATCGGCAAACGTTGGCGGAAAAACATCACTCTGAAATTCAAGGTTCGCTTGCTTTCTGGGTAAAACAATATCGATGGTGAGTAGACTGTGATAGGTCAACTGATACAACTGATCGAACTCGCATCTCCTCACATCAAGACACCATTTGGGCATCATGCACAAGCCTTTAACGGAGTCAGCCGTACCTACCTCAAAGCTGAAAGTCAGGCCGTCATCCATCAGTTCAAAGCACTTGACATTGTTCTCTCCTTTGCTTCCAAGAAACAGGAGATTAATGTCCTCGTCGAACACTGGCATAAACGCGGCACTTGACTGATCCAAGACAACGGTTTGGGATGCGGATGTCATCTTTCTGGTGTCCCAAAGTTTAATCTGCCGCTGTTGACTGTCGTTCCATCCGAAAGTCATAATCATGTTTTTCCGCTTGCACCATACACAACGTTGCGATCGTGCACCAGAGTGACTTTCGACGGAAGACACCACAGAGCCATCGTGCGAGTCCAAGATGCGTAGCTTTCTATCCCGAGACGAAACGCAGAATAGAGAGCCGTCCAAGTTCCATTCAAATCCCGTCGCATAATCAGAGAGATGATGAATAGTCGTTACAGCGGTACTCTTCTCCACATCCCAGATGTTGATCACGCGGTCGACAGCAGCGGAGCCCAACACCCCATTGGCGCTCGGATGAAAAGCAAGAATACCACATTTTTTATTGTGTCCCTTCAACATTACCACTGGATTCGAAACATTTGCCTCCAGCCCGCCAGCTGGAATACTCCAACCAAAAATAGTTCCATCCTCGCTGGCTGTAAAAAGCTTCTGGGAATCAAACGGGTCGAATCTGACATCAATAATCGGCCCTTCCTGCCCAAGGACAATGGGAGGGTTCGGGGCAACCTTTCCAACACCGTCGTGGGAGAAAACAGCGCATCCACCAAACGTTTGCCACGGAACAGCAACAAATTTTTCATTGCAAGTGACTGTGTTACCTCCATCCCACATTGCACTCGACGAAGATACATTGAGAAATTGGCTCTGTGGTTTTGCCACTTGCCCTGTGGAATGACGAAAGCGAGAAATGGACATGACGTAATCAGAACAAAAGACTTTGAGCTACGAAGAAAGAAAAGTAGAATACGACAAGTAGAAGGTCACATTTCATAGAAATATCGATGTGAGTCAGGAAACAAATATATTTATATATATCATTCTTGTTGCTCGTTTTGTTGAGATGCATAATGTGCACAGCAGCACGTAAAGCGCAAAGCCAATAAATTTTACCAACTTCGGGTTCCATGCGATTCCGCCATCTTGTTAAATTGAAAATCGTTGCCTACTGCTTTCGTATGTGATACTACAAAGAGAAAGGTACAAGTTTGCCTATTCCACGGGATTATTCTTCTTGTGAATATAGCTGGAATCCTGCAGCATCTTATCGGCTTGCTCCTTGCGCTCGTTGACATCATTGTGGTACTTCTGCCAGACGCGCGACTTCAACAGTTCATTCGGGTCCTCTGTTGGCCAACGGAAAAGCGCAACAGCAAAGTCAGAGCTAAAAATCGACATGAACAGGACCGCCAGTACAAAGCCCGCTCCAGTTTTTTGTACGAAGATGTGCCGCTCGTACTTGAAATAGAGCCGCGTTTCACGGTACTTCTTTTTCAGGTACCACTGGCGAAACTCTTTATTTCGCATGTCCCACAGAACGTGGTACCACTTCACCTCCGGTTGATATTCGTACGGATTGACCATTTTCGACTACGAAGGTGCGGGTGGCAATCAACAGTAAAGAAGACGAGGAGATGACAGAAAAAGAATATTGAAGGAACACGAGTTGGAAATAAACTTATCTTTTGTTGTTATTGCTGTGATACAGCAATCCTATGACGTGCAAGACACCCACTAGCACACGGGAAAGTCCTGACAATCGTCATCATTCGCCCTGTTCCTCAACACGAACTGGATTTTGAGTACTAACGAAAATGGCATCCTTAGTTTCACATGGCAGATGTGCTACTATTTCGACAGGACAGAATTTTAAAAGAACTGTTTCTCCTCAGCTACAGAACTGGAACCAACGAAACAGCACGCTTTTCTATCATTCTTTTTCATGCCTGAAATGATTTGGCTACGTTGTCCTTTTGCATCAGGCAAATCCCGTAAGCAACATCAAACCCACCGTTCCGCTTCTTCAGTCCGCCTACAGTGAGGTGCTCTGTTTACAAATCAGCCGGAGTTCTTCATTTTCCCTTTACTTTAGAAGAACAAGAGTAAGTTAATAGTGCTCAGCGGTCTCTGTTGCGCACATCTCTTTTGGTTCACCATTTCCACTTCCCTTTCCCCACTGTTTTCTGCGCTCAGCACTCCACCAACAACGCTGCTAAATGAAAGCAGCCAGCACAGGCGTGATGCTATCGTTGCAAACTGTTCCCGCACGCACTAGCAATGAACATGCATTTACTTCCCATTAATGCTCGGTTCAGCTCGACCCCTTCAAGCCCAGTTTAGGCGACTCCTCCCCCCCCCCCAACCGCCACCACAGATTTACTTGCGACGCGAGCTCGAAACGGCGCTTCGACGTTATCCAGTCTCGAAACGGTGCTGAATAAACATTTTGGATACGATTTCTCTCTGGGCATTGGAATGCCAGAGTTTTGCCGACGAGATGAGGTGAACACAATTCGCTACATCACCGATTACGTGGCGCTAGAGAAAGTGATCGGAACCCAAAAGGCAACAGGACTCTTATGAGTTGTGAATATGGAAGAAACCAGCACGACCTCCTCGACATCGCGAAAAATGAAGAGCATGGAGGTGAGGGGGTTCAGCAAAGAAGGCTTGATGAGGCGACGATTGGAATACAACGGCGTTCTCACGCGTAGAAACGCAAACGACCACAGTATAATCAACAGCGTTTGCAGTGGACATATCGGCTGTGCGGCTTTCCTCAGATGCGCCTCGATGGGAGCGTGCTAAAGGTGGAGAGAGTGTGATGGAGAGAGGGAAAAATATATTCTGTTTCTCGTTGACGTTGCCGAAAAGATCATCACCTGTCGTTGAAGCAAACTGCGATCACATCCTCTTTTTGTCGAGAGAAAAGTGGTGTTTCGAGCAAAGAGTTTAAACCAACAACGCGACGCTTGATAATAACATTTTTAGTCATCGTCAGCCCATTTTGCCAAACTACAACGTAATGTTGCGCAGCTTTCGTCTTTCTATTCATAAAATTTCATTTTTCGCCCTCGTTCACTGCTCTATTATGCGCGAGATTAGCTCTTTTTATATGTTTGGGTCTCTTTCATGTGGTGAGTTGTGAATGTCGTCGATTGAGTTAGTAGACTACCAAACAGAGGCTGCACGACTGCACAAAGAAATGAATGACCTCCTTAAGATGACTCAGCGCAAGACCATCGCACGACGTCAGAAAATAGACCTTTTTGTTTTGTCTGTTGCACACGAAAAAGAAATCCATTATTTGTCAGGTCACAGTCCATCATCGTCTGAGGAAGTATCGAAACTTCTTCGGGAAAATGGAGAAGAGGAAGTTATGGAGGAAGAATGCCTCTGTCGATACGAGGCTTTTGTAACATCGAAGCGCTCCTTTTTTAGCGATACCGGAACTGATTTAGATAATGCTGCAACACTGCTGTTCGAAAGCATGTTTGAAGGTGCCGAAAGAGACGATTTAGAATCGGGAAGAGGCGAGTTGCTGACAAGCACACGTTTCTCCTACAACGAACTGCACGAATTCTGTCTTCTTTGTGATGCAGCAGCTCGTTTACATCGCCTGACCACGATGGAGGTGATGGCTCACAAGTTGACGTCTTCACTTGGCGAGGATAAATCATTATTGGCAGAAAAGGAAAAATTAGATGCGCATGGAGCGCTTTTAAACAAGGCCATTGTCGAAAATGAAAACCAACTTTCAACGATAACGGCCCGTTTGCGACGCGTTCGACGGGAGTTGGCTGTACTGGAGGTGGAAAATGAGGCTGGGGCAGCTCGTGAGGAAGTCACGCCTGTAGTGACTAATTTTCAAGAAGATAGAAGTGCAGTCGCCGCTGCAAAAAAAGCTGTGGAAACTATACAAGGGACCACGGCGAACTGGATGCGCAGAAAACAGGAAGCTGATTCCACCAAAACAGCACTGCGTGACAAGGCAGACGGAGTCACAGATCGCATCACAGCCTGCAAGCAAGCGGTAATTTCCATTGCTCTGAGTACAGAGGAAATAGCGAGGAGAACGGATGAGTTGAGAGAGAAATGCGTTGGTCTCTCACGTGATTTAGATTTGAAGGAACGCTATCGCCTTCAACAGATTAGACTTCTGGAGAAGAGCGAGGCAAGCTACCAGGAATTAAAGTCTAAGGTGTCACGACTGGCAGACGACGATAATGCCAAAACAGCACAACTGAACAACGCTGAATTCGATCGCCGGGAGATTTGCTTACGAATTGATTCTGCGAAACAAAACTCACTTTCAGTGAAGACTGTCAACGCAAGGTTAAAGGAATTGCTCGAAGAAGTTCAGTCGGAAAGAGAACTTCTTGAAGACAAAATTCAGTACCTCGGGGGCTTGGTTCCTGACCAGACAAATTTGAAAAGGCTTATGGGTCACTGTGCCAAAAAGCTGGACTGCGCGCATATCTCACAGGCAACTGGGAATTATTTGGACTTTGTCCAGAAAGCTAGAGCGAGTCAGAGGGCACGCTTGAATAAAATTTAATGAGAGCTGTCCCGCTAACAAATGTATGTTTTTTTCTTTCTAGGATTTTGCTGTCTTTGAATTTCTGCTCATGGAACACGTTAAAAAAAAAAGGCAGGCTTTTGAAAAAGCCCAATGCATTTTCTCTTTGACGTGTACGAATTGTACGCAACATTGCATCTATAAGAATAATAATCATTATTATCATCATTAGTGATGTTATCCTACTTGCATTCAATAGGATAACGAAATAATACATGTAAGTGCTTCTTATCGTGATGGTAAATTAGCAGATGTAGCTTTACCTTCATAAATACGTACATTTCTCATGCGGGTGCGACAGTCTATTGTTGTCTTTTTTTTTTTTTCAGAGCCTTAGCTTCTCAATTTCGACTGAATCAGTTTCATTCTCCTCCTTTTCTTTTCGCTACTCTTTCTTTTTCGGCGTTGTCTGTGTTTTTACGTTGGCAAGAAGGATTTTATCACAAATAATCCAAGGTGATGTCTCACCCCGTGATCAAGTGGCACACAGCGCAAGAAAGCTTTTGGAGACCATGAAATCCCACAAAAGTATTTCCTTAAGCGAAAGGAGTGACGCAAAGGATTTAGGATCGGACCAAGACTTTCTCTCTCCTAAAACGCCGGCTGTTTCCAATCGTGGCGAAGATACACAGCCTGTACCTAGAGTTGCACTGGGTCCAATGCCTGCCGACCAGCAATCTAAAATGTCGCTTCCTAGTAACACTAAAAAGCCAGACATACCCAAAGATTTGGACGCTCTACGCAAGGAAATGGACACACAAGAGCGAATTATAGTGACCCTTCAGCGCGATAATGAAGCCCTTTTGCGAGAAAAGAAAGAAGCAGGTGCTCGTTTCAAGGAACTGGAGACCAAGTATGAACATTTGGAGGCAAAGCACAGTCTTCTGCTCAGCGCGCAACAGGATGTCGGGTCGCGCTCAAATTTGCGTGTGGCGAACGATGCTGCAAAAATTGAGTCACTCCAAAAACAGGTACAGGAACTTCAGAGTGCTTTGGAATCCGAAAAACTGAAACGCGCGGCTGTGAGTTCGGAAGGCGGAGCTGATACACAGGAAGAAAAGTACAGCTCTCCTGGTAGAGCATCACCTGCTGTCTGGGATGAAGGTAGCAATCGTAAACCGGAACTATCTGCCGAGAAATCAGCTTCAGCGGTAGGCAGCGATCACGCTGCAAGGTTGCGCGAGTACGAGCGCTTGCACGAGATTCACAAAGCTACAATAGATAAGCTACATGCAGAGGTTGGAAGGCTGGAGGGTGAGAAGAGAAAGCTGGAAGATCTACAGCATGATTATTCCCACAAAATAGACGAGCTGATGCTTCGTACTCGTGAGCTGGAAGTTAATGTTGCACGAAAGAAGGAGAGCATCGGTGAGCTCCTCCAAGCTTGTCAAGACAGCGCAGACAACGCGCAGCGTCTTAAAAAGCAAGGCAACCGCATTCAATCACTGGAAGCTGCGTTGGTGGAAAAGGACGAATTCGCTCGGAAGGCGATGGAGCGGCTCCGCGGCGAAACGGCAGAGGTGTGTAAACGCTACCAGGCAACGATCGCCGCTCTGGAGAAGCAGCTCGAAGCACCGACCAAAGGCGATTTCGATCTGCGTTGCCGGTTGACCACGCTGGAAAAAGAAAACTCTGAATTGCGTCGCGCACCTCCTACTAAAGCAATTCTTCCATCGGATGGCGTTAATTCGAATTTGCTTTTCGCTGAAAGCAACCAAGCACATGACAGAGGCCCAAAGTCTGATGCGGCTGAAGAAGGCAGTAATGAAAATGCGACGACTCAAACGAATGCCGATCTGTTACAGCTAGAAGCACGGCTGAGTGAGTCGGTTGCAGAAGCTGCAAAATACAAGGAGATGTATGCCAATTTGCAGACGGAACTGACGAACATACGCACAGATTGGGATGCCCGCCTACGGGAAGTGAAACGGAATTTCGCATCACAATTCCAACAACTGCGCGCAAGTCACAATGGCGAGCTTGACCGTTTGGAGGCGAGTCATCGGTCTGAACTGCTCGCGTTGTCTAAACAAACACGCGGTGATGACGTGGATGGTTTCTTATCAAAGCTCATCAATATTATCGAGAAAAAAGGGTATGACTCGTCTTTGGTGGCAATTTGTGAAAGATTAAACTATTTAGAAAAGCATTCTCTGCGCAAGGAGGAGGAAATGGCGTATGAACTCTCCGAAGTGAAACGAATGGCTGAAATAGAGAAACGCATACTCAGGGAGAAATCCGATTTACAGGTCAAATACAAAAATACGCAGATCAAAAATTTTCGTTTACAATTAGATGAACTACTTGCTGCGCTCGCTGTGTTACAGGCAACCGCGTAAAGCTGCTAGATTTTTTCCCTCGAATTATATCTTTTCATGTATACGTTGTTCGGTTTGTGTCTTTTCCAAGTTACTATTTCAGTGAAAAATGAACGCTAGCGCTTTTTGAGGTGTAGGTCTAGGAAAAAGACTTGAATCGTGCTGATAATTTGTTTTTCAAAGGCTTTTTATCATCACATCTGTTCATGACACGTCGCTATTATGATTATGATTATTATTTGTCACGGATCCATTGTGCTCTAGGCGCATTTCTCTTTAGCACTTGAAAAAAGACTTTCTATTCACTGGTTCCATTTTCTCCTTTCTTCTTCTTTTTCGTCTTACCTATATTTATTATTGATTTCTTTGTACCAGCACTCTCTGCTTTTTCACAACACTTTTTGCTTTCTTTTTTTTTTTGCTCTTTACTCCCCTCTTAACACTCCAAGTATGCGCTCGCTTATTCTTGTCGCGTTCCTTTTGATTGTGGGACTGTTTATCGGCGCCGAATGCAGGCTGGAGACAAGCAACTCTTTTGATGCCTACATCCGTCAGTATGGCAAACGGTACAGCGCCGTCGAGTACTCGAAGCGTCTCAAAATTTTTACGGAGCGACTTCGCGAGATTGAAGAGTTCAATCGCGACGGCAAGCACTCATATCGCCGGGGATTGAACAAATTGACTGACTGGACCGAAGATGAGATCGGTGCCCTGAATGGGGCCCGCCCGATGATGTCGAGGAACCTTCGCAGCTCTGTTCCGAAGCACATCTACAACCGCTCTTCCCACACCCTCCCTCGCCGCGTCGACTACCGCACAAGTGTTCCTCCGGTGCTAACCTCCATCAAAGATCAGGGCTCCTGCGGCAGTTGCTGGGCGCACTCCGCAGTGGAGGCAATGGAGTCGCACTGGGCAATCGCGACCGGCCACCTGCACGTCCTCAGCCAGCAGCAGGTGACGGCGTGCACGCCGAATCCGCGACACTGCGGTGGTACAGGTGGATGCGACGGTTCGATTGAGGCTCTGGCGTATGACTACGTAGCCGGGGCAGGCGGAATCCAGGAGGAATGGGGATACCCCTACACTGCCTTCTACGGCGAAACTGGGAAGTGCGAAGACATGCGCACAAGCAGACCCGCAAAGGTGTCTTCCTATGTCGAACTTCCCGCCAATGACCAAGAGGCGCTGATGGACGCTGTCGCGTTTAAAGGACCGATTGCAGTGAGCGTGGATGCCTCAAGGTGGTTCAGCTACCGGGGAGGCATTTTTGACGGGTGCGACTATTCGGTGAACATCACACAAAACCACGCAGTGCAACTCGTGGGATACGGACACGACTACGACTCTGGCAAGGACTACTGGATTATTCGAAACTCGTGGGGGCCGCTCTGGGGCGAAGAGGGGTACATCCGCCTGCTCCGTGAGAAAACTCCGCAATGCGGTTGGGCGGTTGATGCCCACTCGGGTGCCGCATGTGACGGCGATCCAGATGAAGTGTGGGTGTGCGGAATGTGCGGAATCCTTTCGGGCTCCACCTATCCTGTTATGGCGGCTCCTTGAACGTGATTACCTTTCACCTGGACGAGAGATCCGCCTTCAAATACCGTGATTTGAACCACTTCTTCAATTTTTTTTTTGCCTTTTCTACTTTCCTTGTCTCCTTTTACTATTGTCGGTGGTGATGATGCACAGCTTTCTTTTCCACGAACAAATTCTTTCGAAAGAAGAAGCGGATCGCAGTAGCTAATAAGAATGCGATCGGTTTTATTTTCGAAGGCATCTTTTCAACGCTGCACACACAACTCCCGTACAAAAAAAAAAAACTAAAACAAGAAATAAAAGGGTCGTCTGAGTTATTTGTACTGCAAGACAGAGGAAAATCTGATGTGGCACGTAAATAAGAAACACTTCAGACCGGACACTTTTGATTTCTGTTTTTTTTTTCCTTGAAAACAGCAACAACAACAACACCATATCTTTTCTTTTTGTTAGAACCAGTTTACTTTTCCCGTTTGCCGTTTACCGTTGTCGTTTTCCGTTTCCACGTTTAGATACAGTAGCAACATGCAATTGTTTTCTGGCATCTATAACTGTTCTCCAAAAGGACCAAATTTTTGTAGTTTCTCTTTTCTGTGCGAAGCAGCGCAGTGCCTTCAAAAGCTGTGGTAAGCTTCAATGGGCTCACAGGTGTTCAGCACGGCACTTCAGTTGAAAAAGCAGAATCGCTATGTAGTGCTGGACAGTTTTTATTCCAGAGTTGCAGCGAGTGCCCAAGGCGTGTTTTCTAAACAGGTTAAATGCTTCTTGTTCGCTTTTCTCTCTATTTGCTCAGCATCTTTACCCCTCTTTTTTTTTTACACGCCGCCTTTTTTTTCTGGGAAATTAAAACTTCCTCTTCGATCTTCTTCTTTTTTTTCTTGGTTGTAATCAATCGCCTACTCAGCGCTAGGTTTTCCGAACTGCAACATGAAGCAGATTAACGTCGAGACAGCGACGAGAGAGCAACTCGTCGACTTCATTCGACGCATGCATCCGCAGCTACAGCGTGAGCAGGAGCGTGTAAGAGAGCTCGAATCCCAGGTTAGCGGCTTTCAAGAGTTTATTCACGAGAAGAATGCGGAAATACGCGAACTGCGGCAACAGAGCGACCGACTCACCGAGAAATCGGCGAGCGACGAAGAGACAATTGGGGCGCTCATAAAGCAGATGGAGGCGATGCGGCAAGAGCAGACGCCATCTCCAAACATGATTCCTATCACGGGCGCCTTTAGCGCCAGCACTCTGCGCGCTAGGTCAGTGGAGCAAGGCTCAGGAAAAGGACACCCATCTGGCGATGGGGCGGCACATGAGAGGTCACCAGAATCAATACGATCACCGGATAGCTCAGGAAACGGAGAGGCGGCCCGCCGACCGTCACGCACGCCGCCACCACTCAAAGAAAACCTGGAGAGTGTCTTGGCACAACTGAAGTCACAGAGTGCAACTGCTGCAACCACTATCTCTGGTAGGACAGAGGAGATTGCCAAACTAGAGAACAAGGTGCGTGAACTTATGGAGATCAACGCGTTCTACTCTGCTATTGTAGCCCAGCATGATCAAGAAGAGAAAGCGCGTCTAGGGCAGAAGCTTGTGCTCGGAAGCGGACAGTTAGAGGAGGAGGTTGCGGAGTTGCGGCAGGAGGTGGAGCGTCTGCAGTTGCACATTTCAAATATGGACGTCCAGGAAGAGAAACTGCAGCGCGTAACTAAAGCAACCGAGGCAGAAAAGTCGGCCTTGAGAATAGAAAATGAACTGCTAAAGAAAGAAGCGGTTCAACTTGAGGCAGAAATGGCGGAGATGACGCGCGAGCACGCGCGTGCTCGTCGCTCTCTCGCAGCGGCTGCATCACACCAGTCTAGCACCATCGACGTGCGACTCACCTATGCGGACACCGACGGACCTCAGGCACGCGCTGTATCGGCACCCCAGCAGATTTCCTCGCAGGACGCCTTACAACGTGTACCATTAACATCCATGGACAGCTACACCCAACAGCCAGAGCGCCGCTACGCATCTCTGCCGGGCTTCACGGCTTCTCGAGTATCGCCGCTGTCTCACGAAGGGCGGCAGGGCATGATGAGAGGGAGTGGGGCTTCGCCAGTGGCTGCGACGAATCTCAGCTCCGCGTCGCATTCACGCTTTAATTTCCGATCCTTGCGGCCGATACGCGTGCGCAACCCCGATGCACACGAGCGAGATCTTCTCGATCGCATACACATCTACGAAGAACAACTGACTCAGATGGAGCTATTTGAGGCGGATAGGCAGCGCAGCTTCGATGAAATGGAGCGCAACCGTGCGGAGATGTTTGCTGCGATGAACGTGCAACTGGAGAGACAAAGGAAGGAAATTCACCGGCTGCGTAAGCTGCACGAGGACGTCTCCCTCGACTCCTCTTTCACGGCGCGGCCCTCGCACAACCAATCTGTTGGCTCAGTTGTGAACCGAGAGGAGGAAGAGGGGCAGGCCAGCTTGCGGCGTCACGGGTCTCATTCGCCCGTCGAGCGTTGCCTCACTGCCGTCCCAACAAGCACGCAGTCCTTGCTCAACGTGGAGTCATACAAATGCGTCGATGAAGTAGATGGGGTCGCAGGTGCCTCTGTCAACGGGCGGGACTCATTAGCGTTACGTAGCGCTCATCAACGTCGCCTTGCACCATCGGCAACCCATGTTGGGGTGAGCAGCCCAGAGGAGGAGTTCAGGTGGCACGAAAAGGAAGAGCGTCTTCTCGTTTGGAGAGCGGCGATGGAAAGCGCGGTACAGCTGGCGGCCGGATTTCACGCTATCACAGTTCAAAGTTACACCAAGGAGTTGACTGCGTGTCACGCAAAGCTGCTCGGCGAGCGTGCAGCACTCACCTCGGAATTGGAGGAGCTCCAACTTCACAATGAAAAATTGGAAGCACAAGTGGCGAATCTGGAAGTGGAACTTCATCGCTCCAGCGAGGCGGCGGAGGCCGATCGGACGGCGCAGACCAACCCAGAAGTTGTGGACCAAAAAGTCCCTGCAGACGAGGATGTTTTCAAGTACCTGCTCGAACAAAAAGCTCTGTGTGCCGCGCACCTGGCGATGGACATGTACGGCGGCCTTGTAACAAGCTGCTGTGCCTTTCTTCACGAAATGGAGAACCATAGTTTGGGCGCCGAAGTGTACGAGGGTTTCGTCGACCTCACGGAGGAAGTCGCACGTGACCTTGCGGAGGTGCATGCAGCGCTGCATTCTCTGACACAGCAACAGCGGGAAGTGCCACAGGAGTCTCACGTGATGCTCTCTGCGACACCTTCAATTCTTGTTGACCCAAGCACGCCGCAATCACCTCCGACTTCCTACGTCGATGTGGCCTCTGCGGATATACCGGAGCACAGCGACAACGATAAGAACGCTGCTCAGGGTTTTCGCTCTTCCTCCTCCATTGCTTCCTCTCCAATTCATTGTTCGTCTCCCGGAGAGCCAGCAGCCTTGGTTGCCGATCAAAGGATCCCCATCACCGCCACTACTACCACTGGCTCGACTAGCGTGTCGACAGCTTCTGCAAAACAAGTGAATACCGAATCGCCCTTTTCGGCGAACACTTTCCGTGGCGATGCAACGGCTGTTTCAATATCACAGGACGATTCACGAAGGAGCAGCTTCGACAGCGAAGCTGAGGCGTGCAACGAGGACAAGACGCAACGGCAATCAGAGGACCGCACAGCATCGACTGAGGGTGACTCGCCGGACGATTCTGAAGGTGAAGCGCTTGCGCAGGTGTCTGCCGAAGAGACGGACGGCACGGCGCCGTCGCAGTTTGCGGACTGCGTGGAGAAGGATGACGGGACCGGTCGCACTTCCGTGACACCGGAGGGTGCAGAGAGGATGGCGTCAGTTTGTACCATGTCCGACGAAGGTAGTGACGTGGAGGGGCATGGGGGTGCCGTTCTCGCTGCCTCCGTCAGCAGCGAACGCGAGGAATCCGACGAAAGGGAAGGTGGGAACGCTCAGGCACCGCTGAAAGAGGTGTCGCCGAACGTGACGACATATAGTTCAACAAGGGCTGATGCCGATGTGAAAGGGGGTGCACAGGTCTATTCCCAAGGGAGTGTAGTCGAATTGCGCGAAAGCGACACGATGAGTGCGACGTCGCAGCTGGAGATGACAGAGACAGAAGAGGCAGAATTTCTGGCGCAGTTGCAGAAAGCCATGGGTGAGGACGGGGCAACTGGATGGACCGTGCCTGAAGAAGGGGAGAAGACGGCGCAAGCCGCTCTGGCCAGCACTTCTTTATCTTCTTCTCGCACAGGCAAGGAGGAGGGAGAGGAAATCGCAGAGGTGGAAAGCCATCACTTCGGGGAGAGCAGCGAAGGAGAATTGGACGGACGGGCAGCAGCGACTGCGTCGGCCACATCGTCTACAGCGACGAGCGAGGAGCAAAAGCCAGATGGACGAGCTGCATTGAACTCTCCGGAAGGAAAGGCGTCCTCCTCCTGCACTGACAGCGTTCATCAAGCCAAGGCTGAGGTCGATGCTACGACGAGCAGCAACATGGAAGTAGTAAAGTCAGATGTACCTTTCCCGCCTGGGTCAAACCGAGAAGATGCGGGAGACGGACCTGAACTGTCTTTCTCCAACTCGTCTGCAGATGTGTCGGCAGTCGCGCCTTCACCGCATTTTCCATCTAATGGTGTGGCTCAAGAAGGAGAAGGCAGTGTTTCTGCAGTAACAGAAGGATTGAAGGCAGCGGCAGCTGTAGTAGCACCTCTTCCTCCGGCCGCTGCGACTCCACCACTTATTCCTCCTACCTCGTTGGATGAACTCTTTGGAGGTTACCCAGGTACAACCCCGTTTCCACCGCCGCCAGCAGATGTCCCACCGAGGGTTTTTAAATCGCCGGCGGTGTCGTACGCGACTTCCCCACCTCCCTCAGCATTTCCAGAGAGGAACAAGCCGGTGGACTCTTGTGCAACATTCAGCAACCACGCGTCGTTGCCTACGCTCTCACCCAGTAGCATGTTTGCAACGCCTCCGAGACCTGCGCCGTCCCGAACGTTCTTCATTGGCTCCCCGCACGACGGAAGCTACGCACCACCTCAGTCGAGTCCAAAAGGAGCAAGCACACGCGGTTCTTCTTCGTCCGATGACGTGTTTGAGGCCGGATTCGACCCTTTTGCGTAAGAGTCACTGTTCGCGACATGAAGCAACGACAAGGCGGAGTTACCGCAATAGGGGAGCAGCGTCGTTGCGGTGGCAACGTCTCTCCCTCTAGCTCAATTGTATGGTGCAACTGTTTTACACTCTCGTGTACATTTCTTCTTCAGAGCCATTCGTGCTCAATACGGTGTTGATGTTGGTCGAGTTTGCGTACTGCCGCATCTGATGTTACTGGTTTCTTAGTGCCTCGTGTTTATTTTTTTTTATTCTCTGTGGTCGACGCACTTCTGTCTCTCTTTGTGTTTTCTGTGCTTTTATTGTTGAGCGTCGTGTTTCTTTTACTACCAGTCGCTGCTATCTGCGTTGTTGAGAGGATTCGAAAAGTGTTCCTTCCCGCTTTCGTTTTTTTTGCTGGCACCCAGCAAGACTATTTTTGTCCTCCCTTTGCCGTTTTTCTTTTTTTTCTTTGCTTCACTATTTATATAATTATCGCCCTCTTGAAGTTTGTTCATTGCATGCAGAACAAAAGCGCAGAACAAACTGGTCGTCTCTACTTTAGGTCGTGGATACCGTGAAATCTATACGCTGCGAAGCTCGTTCTTGGCATGGGATCGTCAGGTGAAACATTGCAGCGACGAGTAACCTCATCGCCGTAAAACCGGATTAAAGCGACCGAAGCGGAGGGTGGACGCCGCGCTTTAACGGCGGTGCCTAACACAAGCGAAATGGAAGATCAAGGGCTCATGACCAGCTTGTACATACTGCCTGCACAAGAAACAATATCCTTTAATCTGTACATCTCTTTTTTTTTTTCCCAAATCTCTTTTATGAGCTTTCCCATTTAGAATGACTATTCAATTGTACGTGTACGTTATGCATAGATTTTCACGACGTTGTCCGTCGATTTAATACACGCAACGGTTGGAGAGCAGACTCTCAAAAAAGAAAAAGAAGGTGATTGTCATATAGAAGCATAAATACGTTGAAAGACAGCCGACCGAATACCTTGCGTTCATCTTGCATCTCCTCAATGGCGCTACGATCAGCTGCGCTGAGTGGCCGCAAAGAACTGCTCGCATGGCTCAACAACCTTTGCAATTCAACTTATCCATCTGTCGAGTCACTACGCGATGGGGCGGCGTACTGCACTATCGTTGAGGCTGCAATTAGCCGCATCGCGCAAAATAGTGCAGCAACGCACTCCTCGGAGGCACCCATTGCCAACAGCCGCGCTGAGCAAGCGCGTGTCTATCTTAATAAAGTTGACTGGTCAGCAACGGCAGTTGTGTGTGAAGGCACCGACCCTTCTCTTGACTCAATGTCCGTTCGAACTGCGTGTGCCCACAATATGCAGCTTCTCCAAGACATCCTGCACGACTGCGTTCCTGCTGCACATCGTTACACAGCAGAGGCGAGCCGATTGGCGGCCGGGAAGCTACAGGACCACGTTTTGTTGCTTCGCTGGATGTACTCGTTCATGTCGAAGGTGCTGGCCCATTACTCTCGAAAAGCATTGGAAAAGAAAGGGGAAGTGGTGGCGGGAACTGTTGAGGGGGTCAAATTGAACCGCACAGCGCTTTTGCGAAGTAGTCAAGTCAACGGCGTCGTTGAGCGCGGCGGTCACGAACCTGCGCAGACGCGTGAGAGAGGAGAAGCAGGGCAAGGATTGGCGTCACACGCGCACCATATGAGTGCGACAAGGGTGTCGGCAGGCCGATCACTTTCTGGTAGTCCCTCGCCGGCTCTCCAGTCTGTACGCGCCAGCGGAGAGGAGGAGTCACGTTCGCCAGATGATGATGCGTACGAGGAGAGACAGTTGCCACGCAAGCATGCGCACCGAGTCGACAAGGAGGAGCCGTCCGCAACGCCCCGCTCCTCCAGCGTCGGCGGTCCACCAACGGGAACCGCAGCAAACGCAGAGGAGGAAACTCCTCGTGGAAAAACGGTCCACTCACACTACACACGCGGCACCATCGCCGTCCCTGAACACCTCCGCGGGCCACTCGTCTCCCTCCGCAACGAGGTGGAAGAGGTAGAAGAGATCGTGCTGTACGTTCAGGAACAGCACAATTTCTACCTGACGCACCCTGCCAATGGCACGCGCACCTACACACCCAGTGCAGCGGTGCGAAACGTTGACAGTGGATCGCAGTACAGGCTCGACGCTCGCGAAACTGTCTCACTCGAAGAACTTGGGAGGTTGCTAGAAGAGCGGGATGCACTAGCGCAGCAATACGCTGCAACGGATGCGATTGTGACGCGTGCTCTTCAGCAAGCTGAAGCGCAAGGGAAAGCAGCTTCTCCGCTTCTCCGCGACATAGTTGATCTGCTGCGCCCTCATTAAAAGGCGTTACACTTCTCATGCTGTGGGATTGAGTGGAGAACAACGACGTCTCTGTGCGAGGAAAAGATCAATTTTTCTTGTTGATTCAATTTGGCTGAGCTTTCGTTTTCACATGATGACATCAAGGTATCGTTTGCATAGAGTCATACCCTTTTTTTTTCCGGCACATTTTTATTATTATTTCGCGGTTCTTTTTTTTTTGAAAGCGAAAGCGAGATGCTGTTCTCTTCCTAGTTGCATTGGTGTTGAATTGCATATGGTTTCTCACTTGCGGCGTTCTGCTATGAAGAGAAGAAAATTTGTTCAACAGCAGTGCACACCAGTTGGCGTCCGTTGAAAACCTTACGATGGTGGCATTCGTCGCTCAAGACGAGCATCAATTGTTGGCTTTCGTCTCGATTTGCGGATGAAACGTGTAATACCGCTTCTGATGATATGAAAAGGACGTCATACATTCCCATTCGTGTTTTACGCTCTTCAATATCCTTCTTTCCCCCTTTCCGTTTCTTTCCTCTCAGCTCTTCGGACACCGCGGTCAGCGTCCACTTTCTTTTCCTAATCCCCTTGTCGCTTCGTCCACCCTTTCATTCACCTTTCGTCTCCCTTATTGGTACGAAGGTGTCTTTTCTCGCTATCTACATGTGTTTCTGAGCTGTAGAATCGGTTGGCCGCGTCTACTTCACTACATGACTTTGTGCTAGAGCACGAGGGATCCTTTGCGTTAACCTTTTTCTCAAACCACATCCCGCCTCTTATTTTCCATCATTATCGCTGGAAAAGTACGCAAAAACAGTGAGTGGCGGAGAGAACAGCAGAACGAAGTGTTCTATTTCATTGCACTTTGGCTCCCAGAAAGAGGAGATTTTAAACGCATTTATTTCTCCCTCTTTCTTGGGCTTAAGATAGGTACTCCTCAGAGCCTTGAACATACACAGTTCCTGAAGATATAAGCGAGTTCGTGAACGCAAGAAGAAAAGCTTCACCTTTCCTTTTCCCTTTTTTTTTGAGTTGTTGTGAATTAGGGACTTTCGCCTTGGAGCAAACAGCGCACCACACATTTACTGTAGAAGGAACACTTCGGAAGAGAGGGGAGTAAAAGAGAACGCGTCGTTGCACCGCCGTAATGGGAGCGGGGATGCTAAACGCTACTTCCGCGACACGTCAAAAGTTGCCGAAGCTTAATGAGCGCATTCGCAGGGGCAGAAGATTCGACCTCCGCTTCCTCTGCTTAGGGCTTCTTTGTATTTTTCTGTGTGCCTCTGCGCTACTCTACTCGCCCTTCTCGTTCCATGCCGTTCCCGCAGCACCATATCACGTCCCAGATTATGTGTGCGCTGCGCATCTCGCAAATGGAAAAACCCACAGCGGCTTCAGAGCGACACCGGTGGACAGCACCGTGTTGATGCTCTACACGCCCACTAGCAAATCATCGAGCTTCTGTTACAGCGACGGCAACGGCGACGCGGCCACGACGGCGGAGCGGGAGTTCCTTCGCGTGGCCGCGTCGTACGTGTCGTCGCCGTACACCAAGCCGTCGAGCCCGTACTACGACTTCTTCCGTGCGCACGACGCGACGCTGTGGACGGTGGACCGCGCAGCGCGTGTGGCGACGCCGATGCGTCTAGACGTTGTGTACACCTACGTGAACCCCAGCGCGCCGTCGTTCGCGCGGCACCTGCGGATGCGCAACGTCCCCTTCGAGCAGCGCCGCTACCGCGACTGGGAGGAGCTGCGGTACTCGCTGCGGTCGCTGCACGCGTTCGTGCTGAACAACGGCGCGCTGGCGCAGTACCACCGTCGCCACGCAGCGGACGTGCGGCGCCTGGGCGAGCTTGGGTACCGCGTGAACGCGAGCGAGGTGGGGGACGGCGGCGTGGTGCCGCTTGTGCGCCGTGTGTACCTTGTGGTGTCCGACGTGGACCAGGTGCCTGCGTGGCTGGATGCTGAGAGATTTCCCCAGCTGCGCGTGGTGACGCACCGGGACATGTTCACCGCTGAGGAGGCGGAGTGGGTGCTGCCGACGCTGAACTCGAACGTGATCGAATCCGGGCTGCACCGCATTCCTGGCGTTTCTCGCTTCTTTTTCTACATTGCCAATGACATGTTTGTGGGTCGCAAGGTGTCCTTCTTTGACCTGTTCCGCCCCCTGTCGCCGCTGCGTCAGCGGCTGCACCTGTTTGACATGGCAGCGCACACAGACGCCACCTCTATGTCGTTCGCTGACACCGCGTTAAATGATGACCGTGCCGCATTGCTGCTAGAGCCGGTTGTGCACAGCGACACGGAGGTGATGGAGTGGGGTGAGGGCGCGATGACGGAGGCTGAGACGTCTGCCACGTCGCACGCGCAAGAGTTGCTTGGTAACTGCCTTTTCCAGCAATCGTATGCTAGCTTGAGGCAGAACGCGCAGCGGAAGAAGTGGACGAAAAACTCGACTCTACAGCCGGCGTGGTCCACCACCAAGGGATTTGCCTTACACGACCCACACTACGGCGTCACGCCGCGCGGCGCTGGTGTCGGAAGCCACTACTACTACCACCTCACTTCCACCCACTTAGACGGCGTCGAGCTCCCGTTCGGGTACGCCCACACTCCACAGCTAGTAGACCGCGAAGTGTATAGACGGCTGAATGAGGTGGAGCTGTTCAACCTCACCAACGCCACGCGTAAAGCTTATGAACGCGAAATGCATCCTTACTCCCCTATAGACGAGTACGCTGTCTTCTCGGTAGCCATGGCGCGTGGTGCGGAGCGCCATATGTGGAACACGGTGTGGCGTAACGCTCCTGCTATCGTCTTTAGCGATGTCGGCGAGGAGCTGCAGTCATGGTGGCGGACGAACGTTGCCATGCGCTCCCGCGACGTTTTGGAAAGACTTTCCGGCCGCTTGTCGCACAAGATTCAGTCCTCAATGTTTGGCGCACTCTACGGCGACACGTGGGCAGCGCAGTTGCAGCGTCCCGACCTTGCCCTGGAGATGGGGTACTGGTGGGTGCGCGACACGGTGAGCCCCGCGCCTCCTAGTCGGGAGCTGTCCTCGTTGAAGACGCTCTACGCCATCCCCGACGTCGCGTCGGGTGAGGCGTGCCGCGTGCGGCCCACTGAGTGGTCCGCGAGGAGCGATGACCACTACTTCAGCCTGCTGCACGACATGCACCATCACACGAAGCGCGATGACACCTTTCTGTTTGAGATGGTGGATAGCGACGTGAAGGTGATGCTGATCTCTGCCCGCCTAAAGTACGAATGGTTAAATCGGCCCCTCTTTATGGGGTTTAACGACAACTTTCCGAGTACCGCTGACTTCAAGGAGACAAAATCGGTCTTTACTGTGCTGTTGAAGATTATCTCACACAACTGCCCCCCTGCTCCATGGGAGCGGAGAGAGGCAGCGTGACACAATGAAAATGGAAGATACGAATAAAACTGCGATCGATGTACAACCCTTCAGATGATCTCATTACATATGAAGCTCATTTCCGAGATGACAGGTAGATTTCAAGCCACTTGCACCAAGCTCTTCTGCGTGCATACGCCGACTCTAACGGCGTGAGGGACGAAGTTGCTATTCCTATTCTTTTAGAATTCAGGTATCATTCAAAACGGGTGGTTCCCAGCGAGTGTACCCTTGAATAGTATTCAGCAGAGCGTGTTTCTTCCTTTCTTCCTTTTTTCTGATTTATCCTTTGCGTGTTGTGGCGTCCACATGGGTTTCTCTTCCCCCTTTTTTGTTTTAGTCGTGCTTTATTGATGGCGATATAGCTGTCAAGATATTTGATTGTTGGAAAAGATCTAATGGTCACCAGAAGTTTTTACAGTTTTTTTTTTCGAAGGTAATTATTTGCACTTTCGATCTGGCACACGTTTGCACGCGTGTGCTCTGTATTGGTCTCGCTTTATGTGTGTCTTGACACTTTTTCCTGTTCACTGCTCTCCACGTTTTCGCGTTCTAGGAACAAATTCTGTGCCTTTTTTTTTCTGAGAGCTTGCGCCAGGAAAAAAATCGCCGGGAGATGAATCGAAAGCTTAGTGTTGTACTACTATCCCTTTCTCTTCTCTCCCCTCCAGTCGACCTCTCTCCAGGAAAGGCTGTTTTCTGTTTCCCCGCCGTCCCGCCCCTTTTCCAACCCCACAAGGTGGAAATGCAGACGATCTGAGTCTGCAAGAAACTCCCTTTCGTAAAGTTCTAATTGGTTCAAAAATAAATATAAAAAGAAAATAACGCCGTCTACCCTTAAAGGAAAATGAAATCGATACAGGGATGTAACGACACTGTTTTGCACTTTACTGATCTTCTTCGTGCTTTCTTCTTTCTTCCTGATCAGAGAGTAGTCTACTAGAGTTTTTCACTTCTGAATGCGCAATTGTTTCTTTTTTGGCCCGCTTTGGGGCGGCCACTTCCTTTTCCCCATCTCTTTTCTTTTTTTTTCTCCCTTTTCCCTTTTGCCTTATTATTATTATTATTGTTCCCGTCACTAGTACTACTTTTTTTTTTCTGGTGTAAAGCTGCTTGGTGAAGAACAGGAAAGAAAACTTGTGCATCTCCTTTTCTCAACTTCCAGCAAGCACGGCGATGAGGGAAAGTTTTCTATGCTGCAGTGTGAATGGTGCAGAAACTTGAATGACGATTTCTTAGCGGCCATTTACCCTTTTTTTGGGAATTAAATAGTGAGACCTTATAGTAGTCTTGAACAAATTTGCTTGCACGCGCGCTTCACCTCGAGCTGTGCGCTGTTCATTGTCGCCATTTTAGTAACCTTTTCGTTGAACCCCCCGCCTGAATTCCTCGATTGGCTACTTCAAGAAAGAGAAGGGAAGTGCAGCAAGCAGCTTTGCAAGCCAGATGACAAAAAGAAACATGGATGACTATATGCGTGATGTACATTTTATGACCATATGCGTACTACGGATGCCGAAGTGATCAAATGATGCTGATGGCGTGGAACACAATTATACGGTTCATCAAGCTCCTCAGCTCATTTGTCTTCTTTTCTTTTTGGAAAATATCAATGAAGCAGAACTCCTGCTCTCTTTTCTTTTCTTTTTTTTTTCGTCGCGTTTTCTTTTAGGCGGTCCGCAGTAATTATCTAAGTGGGATGCCTTTTTACATTGGTATTGCGGCAAATTGCAGAGTTTGCTTCCCTTTTGTGCCTTTCTCGTAGTTTTGTGTTCTCCACTTATCTAAAGGGATTATCCATAAAGTGTATTTTTTCAACAATTCACTTACAATTTAAGATTGCGACAAAAAACATTCTAAAATATTAGCTGTAACTAGTGTAAGGTAGCGAACTAAAAAAACAAAAAGAATAGCAACAAAAGACAAAGCCCTCTTGTGTTCTTCTGTGTCCATTCACCACCTCTTTTTTTTATTGACGTACTACGTGTGTGCTCGCCTTTTCTCCTCTTTTTCTGCTTGTATGAGAATTTGTATCCGCATCGATGCATTGGCTGCTTGTGTTTTTCTGTCTGGTTTGTTGCACCGAACGTTTCATTTCCTTCTTATTTTCCTTTTTTAAATATTGTCGCGCTTCGTATGTTGTTACGCATAGGTGCATCTACAATTCTCTCCGTTTCCTATTTTATCACGCACACACCCCTCTTGACTGTGCATTCCCTTCACATTTTCTGAATCCCTTCGCTGTTTAAGCGAAACCGCAAGCTGGCTTCGGGCGATTATATTCTTCAAGCTTTACGACATTCCTGATCCTGGCGACACAAAATGGCATAACATTCGTGTCACCTTTTTTTTCGTTCTGTCTGCCTTTCTCTTCAAGAACGCTGACAGTTTTTCTTTTGGACTCTTCTGCCGCTGAAAGAAGACGATGACGTTGCACAACTGCTGTTGATTGTAACACCTATTTACTCATTTTTTTTTCTGTTGATGTTTTTTTTCCGTACCTCCTCCACCTGCCTATCACAGCTGAGACAACGACATCAGAAAGAAAACAGCAAAAATAAGTGAGCGACGCAATCCAACGTGCGTGTCTTCGAAGTGTCTCTCCTCTCCCTTTTCTTTTTTTTTCTCCCTCCGAAGTAAGTGGAGGACCGGAGCCTTTCTTTTCTTCTGTCAACCTCATTGTCAGGAGTATTCAATGCAGAAGGAATTATGGGGATAACGCTCCCTCGTTGCGCTTTGCGACGCCCAACATCCTTGAAGGCCCAGCTGAAGCAATCGTGTTTGGTATTAGTTTCTTGACTGTCTACTGGGCTTCCTTCGCGAATTTATGCGATCTCATTAAGTTATTTATCCGATGATTTGCCGATGACTCCCGTTTCTTTCCCCCTTTTTCTTCTTCCGTTTTCTTTTCTCCAAACCCATAAGTGTCTCTACGGACAGTGGCACAAACACAGATGAAGTAGCTGTCACGATCAAATAGTTTTATCGACGCACTATTATTCTGATCAAAGTGTCTAGCATGATACTACTCTCTCTTCTCTTTTTCCCTTCTTTCTTGTACTGGAGATGAGCGCGACAATGTATGCCTTTGCCCGCTCGTCTCCGGCAGCAGACACTACCGCAAAGGATTCTGCATCTAACAACCGCCAAGCGAGTCGTTATATTTTATGGGTGCTGTGCGTAATCTTGCCGATGTGTGTGCTGGTGTCTCGTACGCACTTCCTCCATTCTACCATGTCGCACGAAAGTGACTCTGTTCAACTCAGAAGTCTTACGGAACAAATGTGCAGTGTGCACGCGAGTTGCGGCGTTAACAACACGTGCTTCACCACAAAGCCAACGGACAATGCCGTGTTGATGCTCTACACGCCCACTAGCAAATCATCGAGCTTCTGTTACAGCGACGGCAACGGCGACGCGGCCACGACGGCGGAGCGGGAGTTCCTTCGCGTGGCCGCGTCGTACGTGTCGTCGCCGTACACCAAGCCGTCGAGCCCGTACTACGACTTCTTCCGTGCGCACGACGCGACGCTGTGGACGGTGGACCGCGCAGCGCGTGTGGCGACGCCGATGCGTCTAGACGTTGTGTACACCTACGTGAACCCCAGCGCGCCGTCGTTCGCGCGGCACCTGCGGATGCGCAACGTCCCCTTCGAGCAGCGCCGCTACCGCGACTGGGAGGAGCTGCGGTACTCGCTGCGGTCGCTGCACGCGTTCGTGCTGAACAACGGCGCGCTGGCGCAGTACCACCGTCGCCACGCAGCGGACGTGCGGCGCCTGGGCGAGCTTGGGTACCGCGTGAACGCGAGCGAGGTGGGGGACGGCGGCGTGGTGCCGCTTGTGCGCCGTGTGTACCTTGTGGTGTCCGACGTGGACCAGGTGCCTGCGTGGCTGGATGCTGAGAGATTTCCCCAGCTGCGCGTGGTGACGCACCGGGACATGTTCACCGCTGAGGAGGCGGAGTGGGTGCTGCCGACGCTGAACTCGAACGTGATCGAATCCGGGCTGCACCGCATTCCTGGCGTTTCTCGCTTCTTTTTCTACATTGCCAATGACATGTTTGTGGGTCGCAAGGTGTCCTTCTTTGACCTGTTCCGCCCCCTGTCGCCGCCACGTCAGATACTGGAGATGGCCGATCTTGTGGACGGTACAACGACGAATGTTGGTGCCAGCAACGCACACGAGCAGGGGATAGAACGCAGGCCGCTCTTCTTTGAGAGCATCCTTCACAGCGACGGGTACACACCCCAACCAAAGCGGTCTCTACTGTCGGTTGCTGCGGCCAGTGTGCTCCCGTCGTCGGTGTGCACGCGCGCGGCGGAGCGCGGTGTGTCGGACCAATGGCACAACCGCTTCATTCATTCACTTTGTGTACCGAATCGTCTCCCTCTTCCCAATATGAAGGACACGAACAGGCTGAACCACATGGCACGCTACCGTATTCAGAACGAATTACCCGGCGTGACACCGTCGATAGAGTACGCGCACATGCCACACGTTTTAGATCGGGAGATGTTGCAGATGATGCTGGAGGACAAAGAGGACGGCTTTGGGGACGCTGTGAGGGACATGAGAGCAGCATATCTGCGCAGCATGAACAGCTTCTCACAGGCCCACATCTACGAGTCTTTTTCCCTGGCTGTGCGGCGGTCGCGAACAGGGTCGCTGTGGTGTCAAAGCGATGCACGGTGTGCGGCCACGCTCGCCGAGGTACATCCACGTATTGCGCGAAAGTGGCGGCGTGTGCGAGCTACTTTCTGTCCCCATCACCCACTTCATGGAGGGAGCCAAAACGTACGCCTGCAGCACGCTGAGCTGCTACAGCGTTGGAGCCTCTACGAGTCTGCGTGGTTGACGGACACTGTAAAGGCGATCGGAACGCAAAATGAGACTTCTGTTGGTGGCGCGAAAAGTCAAGCAAACCTAGAGAAGAACTGCGGTTCGTGTACTTCATCTCCAAGTTCAGGTACCACTGCCCCCGGTCGCCTTTACAGTCCGTCGCAACCTGTCAAGACGCTTTTCTCCGAAGCCACGGCGCGCGCGCCCGAGTCGGTGACCGCCGAGCTCTTCACAGGATGTCACTTCGACGGCGCTGTTGACCCGTCACGCGTACAGTCGCTTGTGCTTGACGTGCACCACCACGTCTCCACCCGCGACAAAACGTTTCTCTTTTTCATCGTGGAAGACCTGCAGAGGCTTGCGATCTCGCTCTCCAAGGTTGAGCACATGATAAGCGTCGACAAAGACGCGGTGGAGCAGGCAATAAATGCCTCCTCTGCGCACCACGACTCTCATGCGTCTAATCTGCCGCTCTTCATTACCGTGAACGACGATTTAGGCGACAGCGTGCTCGCACCGCAGGTGCGCTCCAGCGAGCTAATCGGGTTTAACGAGTCCCTTCTCACGGAGACGTTGTTTCGCCGTTTATTGTGGCTTTCATCGTGCATGGCACCTAAGGCTCCATGGGAGCGTTGCGGTGCTTTTGACGACAGTTGAAACGCGGTTTTTCCCCCTTTTAATACAACTGTCCTTTCCGCGGTGGCGAGTGATCTTTACCTCTTCTTTGTGACCCTTTTCTGTTCCTTTGTGCTCCCCCCTCTCGTGTTCTGTTTTACTGTCACTTCCCAAAAAGTCCAATCACGGCAAGTGTTATTATCCATGTGCCCAACGTGCTATTCTCTCTCTCTCTCTCTATATATATATGTATGTGTGTATTGCTGCTCTTTTGTTTGCCGTCAGTGTTTTTACCTTCCGCAATGCCGTTTTCCCTTGCCAAGGTACGTGCTTTGATCGCCTTTCTTCTTTCCCCTTTGCCAAATGGCGCATCTTTTAGTGTCTTTGAGTACGTCGCCGCTCTAAGTCTGTAACACGCAAAAAGGCAAAGCCGGGAAGAGAACTGCTCGCCTCCTCATCATGCCGTGGAAAATGCGACTGCCTCCATGACTTTGCTGTGCGACCTCCCGTGTCCTCCCTTTAGTAGATCGTTCACCATCTGCGATAAATCGTGTTGGGTTCTACTCGCCCATCCCCTCCCAGAACCGGCAACCTCCGCATTTTGTTTAATGCGTGACTGCTCTCTCTACCTGTAAAGTCTTCTTTCGTTCTTGACCTCCATCCTTACGGTCTCTCCCCCTTCTCCCATCGACGCTTTACAGAGCTACGATTCTCGCACAAAAAACAAAAGACCAAAGCCAAAAATTGTCTAAGTTCTGCTAACGTTTATGTGCTCTCTCTTGTTATTGTTAGCAAGAAGTTGTAAAGTAGAAAGCTGATTGTGATTGGCGGTCGCACTCACACATAACACGAGAAGTAATTAAACGTATAGGTTTTCTTTCGGGCCCCTCATCCGCTATACGAAAGTATATCCAGTTTTTTTCGTGTACAAATAGACCGGAGACTTCCGTTCTCTTTGTGGGGCTTTTTGAAATTACGAATCCTCCCTTGTTGGTTTGCTCGCTAGTTCACCATGGCCAGTTTGGGCCATCTGTGGGATAGCATCCGCCAGCAGAATGTTGCAAACCTCCTCAGTGCCCCTGCATCTGTTCCAGGCCTGTTTTGTGCCTTTGTTGTTGCGTCAGCTGTGTCGTGGAGTCTGCTCTTCTTGTCGTGGTGGCTCTTAGCGCTGCGCTCGCGACTCGTGCGTGGGTACTCGACGACGTGTCTGTTGCTGATTGAAATGGCGTCCGCCAACGTTGCCGCGCTAGGCCACTTTGTACTTCTTTTTTTCGCCGTTTACCGGCAGCTGCCGCCGTGTCGGCTGTTCAGGGGCTGGCGTCTGCGTTGCCGTCGCAGCGGCACTGCACGATCGCCAAGCTCGCATGGGCAGGAAAGCAAAGAAATGTCGGTGCAGGACAGCCACAGTGCAGTTTTGTTTGACGAGGAAGCGGAGGGACACGCACGCGGCGCGGCGTCTACCGTGGCCATCCCCGTTGGCAGCGTTGGAGGGCTGCAGCAACGTGCGACTTCACGGTTGCCCGCTTCGCCGAGTTTGAACGCGAGGACTAGCTCGTCCGGAGCGGCACCCCTACTCGGGGATGCGGGCTTTGTGATCGGCGCCGTTCCGCGCAACAACTCATTCGGCTCGCGGAAAACACAAGAGCAGTTAGCGCGACACTTCCCCTACGTCGTCGCCGCTGTGACGCTTGCAATCTTCTTTATTCACGTTATCATACACATAACAATTCCAAGCGCTCACCGGCAGTCGCAGGAGCTTCTCCTCGGTCTCGTCCGTGTTTGTGTGGATGTGTTATTGTTGACAGCGTGTGAAATCTCCATCGCACTCCGACTGGAGAAGGTGGCGGCGCAGTCGAGTCGAAGCAGCGGCGGTGCTCGTGTGTCGTACGTGCGAGCAACACTGTATCTGTGCGGAGCTATCTTTGCTGCCTGCACCTTCTACACCCTCACCCGCTTCTTCTGGCTCGTTTTCACCGTGGACACTCTTGAGCACCTGAAGAGCGGCGTGATGCACTCCTTTGACATCTGTGCCAAGGAGGGCATGCGGATGGACCCAGGCATGGCGACGTCGTGGGTGTGGCCCGCATTGACGCATCGCCGGCTCTTCAACTTCTGGACAGGGAGCGAGAACTGCTCTCGCGCGAGTGGGTTGGCATCCCTCTCGTTCCTCGATGCGAAGGATCACGTTCTGCTCGTCTCTCCGTTGTGCCCCGGTGGTGCGCGTCCCCACGTGTACCTGCATCGGCCAGAGAACAATGAGTTTTCCGGAAGTCCCGACGTGAGGCTGCCCGAGACGGAGCGCGGCAACTTGGAGTACCATAGGCAGCTAGAGGCGCTCTACGGGACTGCGGCCCTGGCAGCGTCGCGCAACGTCACCGTGAATCGTGATGCAACCACGCACCGAATCCTCTCTGTGGAAGTCGACCCCGAAACACTCCCGTCGCAGCCGCGCGAGCCACGGACGCCCGACGAGCGTGCCGCCCGCCAGCTGTGGCCGCAAGGCGGAAACAATGTGCTCCTGGTGCCCTTGGGTTTGTCCGCCGCCTACACCGTGTTGTGCGAGAAGCCGGAGCACGAGGAGTACCACCTGTTTCCGCTGAACGACGCCTTGCTCGACGCGTACAGTGTTGGCGTCAGGGGGGTGCGGGAGGCGCAGTGTGTCCCGCATTGGAGGCGCGCCGGCCGCAGCGCTCCGCCTCCCCCACTGCCCCCGGGCGATGAGCCGGCAGGGAATGTGTTTGTTATGTTGTTCGACGCGGTCAGTCGACAGGAGGTTCGGCGCGCGTTGCCGAAGCTGAGCCGTGCGCTGGCCGACTTTGCTGCACACGGCTCCACGCGCCACCACGTTGTTGAGGCGGAAGGGGCGATGACCCTCGGTGTGAACACGGCCGCCAACCTTGTTCCTTTTATAGCCGGCATCACCGCCAACGCGGCGGGACTGCCACAGGAAGCAAAATTTACCGGCACATCCTTTATGGATCGCGCCGTGTTTGTTCGTGCCAAAGAAAAGTACGGCGACACGCTGAGTACCGCCTTCACGTCTGCCTTCTGCCACGATCTCTTTGAGTACTTAATGGGCTACACCGTGCCAAGCAGCGGTGCTGGAGGTCGGGTCACGGGCATCGACCGTTACATGTACCAGCCCTTCTGCCACTTGGACTACTCCGGCGTGCACAGCAACTTCATAGGTCCGTACAGTATCCTGCGTCGCTGCATGGCGGGCGAGGCGGTGTGGGATCACATGGTGAACTACACGGAGGCGGTTGTGGAAAGGCAGCTGGAGAACTGTGGGCGCGCGATAAATGCATCGTCGCGGCGCCGCGTCCGCACCGGCGACTGCCACGAGACGATGCCAGAGGGAAGCTACGGCAAGCACTTTTTTCATGTAATGTACATGACGGAGGGCCATGAGGGTACGCACAGTGTCATGCCGCTGGTCGATGAGAGCCTCACGCGGTTTTTCCACGACCTGCGCTTCAAACTCAAGTTCTTTGACAACCCTCTCAACACGTTCATCCTCCTGGCGGACCATGGCAACCACATGGGCCACTACTTCCAGTACACCCGCGCCGGCCAGTTCGAGCGAGGGACACCGCCAACAGTGCTGGTGATCCACCCCGAGGTGCTGAACCGCATTGACAGGAACAAAGGCCGCGGCCTCAACGTCTCCATACAAAACCTGCTCCAGCGCACGCAGCGTGTGTCGACGCCGTTGGATGTGTACCTGACCCTGGCGGATCTGCTGAATGTGCGAGCGGAAGTGTACTATAAGTACGGCGCTGCTGGCGTCGTCCACCCCGCCTCTCTGTTTGACATGCGCGATGCTGCATCGACGGCGCGGGCACGCAACTGCTCTCAGTTCTCCTCGGACGTTGAGCACTACCCGTGTCCGCTGGACTTCTGCCGGCCAGTGTAGAGCGCAGCCTTTTGCGGTGTATTGGGATGGCGCGGGTACGCGTAGTAACTCGTTGTGCCCCAACCGTGTTTTTTTCTCCCTATATGTGTACGCGGCGAATATGCCGGCACTGGCGCTCAACCGCACGAAGGCACTGCTTGGGATTGGCATCAGCACAAGTGTTATCGACACACCGACACACCACCAACACCACCAACAGCTACCACATAAGCCCCAATCGTCGTTAGCCGGAGGATGCAACTCTCAACCGTCACGTGGTGTTCCAGATTCGCCTACAAGAAAGCCTTGTGTGTGTGTGTGTGT